GAGAGAGAGAGAGAGAGAGAGAGAGAGAGAGAAGAGAGAGGAAAAGGTAAGGAAGGAGTGAGAGAGAGGAAGAAGAATAAACGGCTTGAGCCACATGCACGCAACCCTCCCCCTTTGTACCGTTTAACCGTAGCCAAACCCCGTCGTGGCTGCATCGTGACCAGCCAATCTGCTCCATGTTGAACGTTGAAGAACCCTGAACGCCTGGTATCTCATGCCCGCCCGCTGCCTGCTTGCCTGCGTGCGCGCCGAACGACCCCCTAGGATTATGAAGGGCGGCTGCGCAATGAGAGCCGTCAAAGCATTACCTCTCGACGAAACGCCGCCAATGCTTATCCTGGTTTTTTTTTATATTTTTTTTTTAGTGCTGCTGTTGCCGCGCGAGGCCTTGCTTAGCCTGTTCAATCGTTAGCCTCTGATCATATACTCTTCGTGATGTATCGTGAATCAACATACCTTCATCAGCTCAATCCTCGCCTTCAGGTTCTGCGTCACCTCCGCCGCACGCTTCCAGCTCTCAGCACCGTTGCCAGAGCCCACGTTGCTCGCCCTCATGTCACCATCGCCACCCAATGCAGGGCTGGCGCGACCACCATATCCTGAGCTGTGGCTGCTCATGTTGCTGCCAGAGCCGCCCCGGCGCAATGGGCTGAGCTTGCTGTTGCGCGAGCCGGAGCGGGATAGACCATCGCCAAAGTTTTCCTTGCCCTCGCCGCTGGGCGACTGTGGCGTGAAGTTTCGGCGACCACCGGGACCACCATAGCCACCGCCGTAGCCATTACCATAGCCGCCACCATTACCATAACCACCACCATTACCGTAGCCACCGCCATAACCACCGCCGTAGCCATCACCGCCGCCCATGCTGCTCAGGCGTCCATTCATGTCGTTGTAGATGCCGTGGTGCTCACCGCCCATGTCGTATGGCAGTGGGCTCGACGCACGCACTTGCCGGCCGAGCTCTCTCTTCAGGCGCTCCACCTCGCGTTGTTGCTGAAGAACCGTGTGTTGCGCTTCTTCGGCATCGGACCGTGCCCGCACAAGTTGTGTGTCCTTGGCCTTGATGCTGAGCATGTCACGCGTGTGATCTTCGATCAATTGTGCGTTCTGGTTTTGCAGCTCATGAATCTCCGAAGTCATGCGACTCCGCTCGGTCTTGTGCTCTTCATTCTGCTTGCGCAAAAGCTCGACTTCAGCGCGCAGCTCATCCAACTCTGCCTTTTCAATAGCAGAAAGTCCGGGTGGAGGAGAGGGCGCGGCAGGGGTGGGGGGCTCGCTCGCAGTAGCGGAAGCCGGCTTGCCGAGAGGACGGCCGGCGAGACCACGACCGGCAAGCTTCGGAGGAGGCTTGGCAACGGGCGCTGGTGCGGGCTCTTCTTCGGGCTCCGGAGAAGGGGCTGCGGGCTTGGGAGACGGAGCAGAAACACTCGGTTTCTTCAGACCCAGACGGGATTTGGGACCGGCAAGCTTGGAGGCGCCGGGGCGGCTAGTGGGCTTCGCAGCGAGGGGAGCTGCCGCAGGCTCATCGGGTGTGGCCGCGCGAGGTGGTGCAGCGGCAGCAGGCTTCTTGGCGACAGGGCGCTTTCCTGTAATTTTCTTTGCTGCAGGGGCAGCTGCGGGCTTGGGGGGGGCCGCAGCCTTGGGCTTGTACTTGGCCTTGACTTCGGCGGAGTCGTGGAACTCCTTAATTTTCGTCTTGCGAATCTCATCAAGACCTTCCAGGTGGGTGTTCATGATGCGGTCGCCCATGATCTTCCATAACGTTCCCAGGACTTCCGCACCAGCGTCACGCTGCGTAGCCTGCGATTCTGTAAGGAGCTTGGTGGCCGCTTCAGCTATCGACTTGACCTCCGGAACCGTGGGGGCTTCCCTTGTGGACTTGAGAACGCGGATCATAAGCTTCGTCGTCTCGAGCTTGACGAGTGGATTCTTGTGCTTGAGAGCCTCGAGCATCTCCTCAAGATTTTCTCCAAGGCTGGTCGCAGCGACCACAGCGTCGAGTCCGTTGCCCAATGCCTCTGTGACCGATGGCTTCTTTTCCTTCAAACGCTCAATCATGGGAGAGAAGACAGTGGACCGGTACTTTCCGAAGCTCTTTCGTAAGCCCTTGGCGAATAATTCCACACAGTTGGCCGCGATTGTAACCACAGCAATGTTGGCGTCCTTCATAGACTTGGCGAGACCGCGCATGATTTCATCAAAGGGACCCTCTTCCATGGCAGGCACGTTGATGGCTTTGTGGAGGTCCTCCAGAGCCTCCTTGCGATCCTTCCACTTGGATGAGCCGAGCCTTTCTGAAAAGTCCTTTGGTATCTTAGCCATGACATCGACGGCCATGAACTCCGGTTCGAGGTCAACTTCCGCCTCTTCCTCATCGGCACCAGCCTCTGCGTCTTCTCCGGCGGCCTCTGCGGCCTCTGCAGCCTCTTGTTGAGAGCGCAACAGCCTTTCCTGCTTCGGCGGCGGCTCGTCCTTGACCTTTTCGAAAAGTTTGTCCAGGTCCGTTTGCTGCACGGGTTTCAAATCACCCCAGAAGAGGGGTTTCATGCCATCCTTGAGCCATCTGTAAAACTCCACGGTGAGGTTCTGTGCTTGCGCACGAACGTTCTTGTCGGCGTGACCGAAGACCTTGGGCAGAACCTTGAGGATTTGCTTGGGCTCGACCACCTTTACGCCGTACGCGTGGACGATGCCCGTGAGGCCTTCGAGAGTGGCTGCAATGACCTTGGGGAGCTTATGCGACAGCAGCGGAAGCATTTCTTCTATGATGGGGTCGGCCTTGTCGAGCTCGACGTAGAGCAGCAGCAGCTCTTGGGCCTTGGTCTTTGCCGCGGGCCTTCCGAGCAAGCCTTTCTCCACGATCGGGGCGACGGTGCCATTGCGAGTCCTGGGAGATTGGTGTCAGTGAGGGCTGGCGCGAGCTTCGTCGCAAAGACTCACCTGGTGCAGCCCGTGGTGCCGGCGATTTGAAGGAAGGAGAAGAGGGCATTCATGCCCTCTGTTTGGGCAGCGACGTTGGAGTCCGAGACGACTCCTTTCCAGGCGCCAGAGTCGAGGATAAACTGTCGCACGACCGGGTCGTCCTCGCCCTGGGCCTTGTCGAACTCCTTGGCGGCGGCTTCATAGCCCTCTTTCCGCACCTTCCAGTTCTTGTGGGCGAACCTGTCGGGCAGGGGAAGCTGGCTGAAATCCTCCTCCTTGTCCGCCATGGTTGGTACCTAGGATGGACTTCTGGACGAGAGAGATGGTGTTAGCAGCTGTGCAAAAGCGAGAGGAGCACGCTAGGGGGGAGGCTAGTCGAGCTTGACGGGTGGGCGTGTGCGGCGTTTTGCTGGCTCTGCGGGGCGACTTTTTGCGGTGCGGTGCGGAGCGGGAACTCGGTGCGGCGACTTACTGGGCGGGATTGGTGGTGGAGTAGTAGTGGTTGTATACTCCTGCGCAGGGGGATGCCGGCGAAATGAAGAGAATGAATGGAGAGTGGTGGGAGAGGTAGGGTAGGTGGTGTGTTTGGAGTGTGCAGCAGCGGGATGGCGGGCGATGATGCAAATGGACAAGGCCGTTGTTTTGGTCTGGTTGCCGTGGGCGCGCGCCTTTTGGGGCTTCGGGCCTCCACCAAGCTGCAGCAGCGCGGCCAGCGCATACTCCCGCGCACCCGCTGAGCATCACCGCCATTATTCCCACTGCCCAGATTTCCCCCATTTCCCCCCCTCCAATCCCAATCCCGCGCGTCCTTTCCGCTCCAAGTGCCACCCCTCGCCCGCTGCTGCCCTGCTTCTCCCACTAGCACCAACGTCGGACGTCCCGAGCCGCAACCCTCTCTCCGCCCTTTGCCCTTGCCCGCAAAAAATTATATTCAACACCACCTCCACCCACCTCTCCCTATTCCAAGTAGGGCGCACACCGTGGGGCCAGGTCCGGATGCGCCCGTCGCCCAAATGAGCTCCCTCTTGACCACACGCCAGGCCGACGAGCTGTGCGTCGCTCCCCGCCCCTCCTGCCCGCTGCTGCACCCTGCTAACCCGGCGCAGGCACAAGGCCGTCGTGGCCTATCTCTTCGCCTCCAATCACCCAACCAGCGCCCAAGCCCTGCAGGACGAGCTTGGCATCACCGACTCCTTCGATGAGGGCACGCGCAAGAAGTATGAGGGGCTGCTGGAGAAGAAGTGGACCAGCGTCGTCCGCTTGCAGAAGAAGGTCGGCACTCCATGTACCCCCTTGCTTGCTGCTGGGAGCGTGCTGAACTTCTAGATTATGGAACTGGAGTCCCGGAACGCCAGCCTCCAGGGCGAACTCGACTCGGCCACGCCCACGTCGCTCATGAAGAAAAACCAAGACCCCGCCAGCTGGCTGCCCCGCGCCCCTGCCAGACACACCCTCCAGTCCCACCGCCAGCCCATCACCTGCGTCGCCTTCCACCCTATATTCACCTCGCTGGCCTCCGGCTCCGAAGACACTACCATCAAGATCTGGGATTGGGAATTGGGCGAGCTCGAACGCACCGTCAAGGGTCACACCAAGGGCGTCTTGGACGTCGACTTTGGCGGTCCGCGCGGCGGCACCCTGCTGGCGTCGTGCTCCTCCGACTTGACCATCAAGCTGTGGGATCCCTCCGACGAATACAAGAACATACGGACCCTGCCGGGTCACGACCACTCCGTCTCCGCCATCCGCTTCATCCCGTCGGGCGCTGCGGGCTCGCCGAGCTCGGGCAACCTTCTCGTGTCGGCTTCCCGCGACAAGACTCTGCGCATCTGGGACGTGACGACGGGATACTGCGTCAAGACGATACGTGGCCATGCTGACTGGGTGCGCGACGTGACTCCTTCCTTTGACGGCCGCTGGCTGCTGTCAGCCGGCAACGACCAGACGGCGCGACTCTGGGACGCGAGCAATGGCGAGCCTCGGTGCACGTTCGTGGGTCACGAGCACGTGGTCGAGTGTGTGGCTTTGGCACCGCCAGCCGCCTACGGCCACCTGGCCAACCTAGCCGGTTTGAAAAAGCCACCCGCCGCTAGCAGTTCAGCGGAGTTCCTTGCGACGGGCAGCAGAGACAAGAGCATCAAGCTATGGGATGGCCGCGGCACCCTGATCAAGACACTGGTGGGCCATGACAACTGGGTCCGCGCCCTCATGTTTCACCCCGGCGGCAAATACCTACTCAGCTGCGGTGACGACAAGACAATTCGATGCTGGGACCTGGCGCAGGAAGGCAAATGCGTCAAGACAATCGAGGACGCCCACAGCCACTTCGTGTCATGCATGCGCTGGGCGCCCAGCGTGGTCAAGGAGCCACAGGCCAACGGCGAGGGCAATGGCGTCCTGCCGCCGCCAAACGGCAAGCCGAAGGAGGACCCTGGCGGCCAGATCAGGTGCGTCATTGCGACGGGCAGTGTTGATTTGAACGTCAGGGTGTTTGCGTCATAGAGTGGCGCCAAGGCCATAGCCTGCACTCGACGCGCTTCGCCTCCCTGCCTCGGGAACGGCGAAGTCGACAAGATATCAAACGAGGTATGAGAGACGATGACAAAGCACGAACGAGGTCACGAGAAGTAGAGCGATGGAAGCACGATGCCTGTACAAAGGGGAAGAGGGTGGTGGGGAGGAGACAACTGGCCGAGAGGAGTCTGAAGCTACGCAAGAGCTCGCCGCGCACGCCGTGTTGCGCTTTATGGGGCAACAGCAGACAGACAAGATCGCGTCAGCCGCGGCAGCAACATCAGCAACAGCAAGGGGACGACGCAGCAGCAGCAGCAGCCGCCGTCGCCGTAGCAGCAAACAGAGCAGTTAGGGGCCCGGAGACTGGCTGCAGCTCGACGGAAGTGATTTTTGCATACCCTGGGCGTTGGGTTTTCACACATGTTCTTTTTCCAGCTCTGGCGCTCGAGCAGGGGGGTTAGGAGGGGGAAAAGGGGGCGGCAACTCTTGACAGGGTGGGGGAGTGAGTGGCGGGTTGAGCTTTGCGCTGCTTTTTATTTTTTGACAGCTGCTCGTTCTTTTCTTTTCGCTTCTTGTGTTTGTGACTACTCTTGCCGGGGCAGATGATGGGGAGATGGGAGACGGGGGAGGAGAAGGAGTGATGATAGGCTTGGGGCGGTGAGAGGGAGTAGTGTGAGGAATGTTGGAGTTGGAGTCGTGAGGTGTTGATATCAGAGGTCAGCTTAATGCATTTAGAGCTTTGCGGGTCTGTCTGGAGGGAGTGCGGCTGCAGGGGTGGGTGATGGCTGTTTTTGGGGGTGCTTGAAAGGGTGGTGATGTGCAAGTGTGGTGATATGATGTGCATGCGTGACCGTGGCCTGGTCGAGTTAGTCGTGGTCGATTTGCGACTGGATGGACAGCTTCATGTGTAGCTGAGAGACTGGTTTCAATGAGAATTGTAATAGTTTTTTATGCAGACCATGGATTCAGTCTTCGCGGGCTTGACCAGACTTCTAGTTGGTCGATTCATGGTGTTTCTGTAGGGCTGGGCGGCTTCAGATCTCGACACGCAAAAGTCCCGCAGCTTCCGTGATAGGGCTATATGATAACGAAGCTTGACATATAGCTATAACCAGACAAAGAGAAAGTAGAGGCCGTCCATCATCAATCATGTCTACAAGCAGAAGAAAATCAATGAACAAGAAAGCTGATCATCATGTTTCCGATATCGGGCCGGGTATGAAAGGCGTTGAGAATCCGAAAACGACCTGAAAGAATGGCTCGGGATGGAAAAGGGGACATGACTAAAAAAAACCCCCGTTGTTGCGCCAGGGATTTGGTTGGAGGTGGTTGCTTCTCGGTGAGTCGCGGCATGGGGCCGAAGTCTCCGCACTGCGAAATCTCCGCAGCGCGTTCGTTGGCTCCCCGACATCAGTGCTCCAAAGCTTGGATGTTCTGAGAACTTCGCTGTTGAATCGTCGCCGCGTCGGTTTTTGTCGTTTTGTTGTCTGAGCTGAGCTTTGATGCTTCTTTGATGCTTGATGCTTCGATGCCCCCCTATGGCTCCTTCGAGAGCTCCCTGTTGCGGCGTCGGATTTTGTCTTGTCGTTGTTTGAAGTAGTACCACGTTATCAACGTAAGAAAGGTGAGCGGCACAGAAGAGCAAACAAATATCCAGAACTTCGGCGAAATTACGAGTTCTTTGTTGTCTGATTCAAAGTCGAAAACGTTCATTCCGAGGATGGTCTAAAACCCAACACCTAAGTCTCAGCAAGAGCGTCTCCGCAAAGGGGCGAGGATTCAAATACCGCAATAAAGGTTGCAGGAAGATAGATGAGTGTGAAGACAGTGATTACTCGTACAGTAGCATTGTCATCAACACCCTCACGCGTGAGTTGGAGCATGTGGGAATTCGTTTTATCGGCCATAGCTTGGTTTCGTAGGTCTAGGAGGCTGACAAGCTGTGGCAAGGTCAGTAAGCTTCACCTAAAAAAGCGTGTCTCTCACCAGTCCGATGGTCGCCTGGATCCTTTTTGCCAATGCTTCGGAGGCGCTCAAATGGCCTTCCAACTCATCCAAGTATGACCGGAGACTTCTCTGCGTCCTTTCGGTTCTCTCTAGGAATTCTGGAGTGCCGCCAACAAGTTTCCCATTTATGTCTTCCAGTAACTTCACAACTCTGACCGTCGATCGCAGAGTCGCCGTTGATCGAAAGAGCACTTTGTTCTGGAGACGAAGAAGGTCTTGGAGCTCTTCAGACGTAAATTGTTCGCTGGTGCTTTGGCCAATATCGAAAACGAGCACGCAACCTTGCTACCAGAAGTTAGTTTTTGACTATGTGCAGCTGCGTCAATACCCACAATCGTTTGGAGTTCTGCAGCTAGGGTCTCCAGATAGTATTCCCAATTCCCAAGGTACGAAGAAAGCAGCACCAAATGTATGTTCATTGGGTGTTCTCTGAGCCAGTTCTGCTCGCTTTTGGTTTCTGCAAGATTCTCCAGCCTTGTTTGGGCTACTGACTCTTGTTTTGGGTGCAGCAGGATAGCGAAATTCCTGTTTTCGGACCAGACGAATCGCTGATATACGCCTGTTTGGCGTAGCGACCATGGATCTTTGGGCGCTACCCTGCCATTTGGTTCGACGTACATGAGTTGGTAACACATATCTGGTGAGTTCTCTTAGTCCGAGTCGAAGCAGTAGAATATCTGCTTACCGTAGGATCCATCCGTCTTCTGCAACGCATAATTGAAGCCTGATGATATCTGGTGCTGCGTACCAAACTTGAACAGGACATTCAGAAATTCCGGCCTTACAATTCCTCGACCTAAAGTCTTCAGCATACAATTCCGCGTCACTTTCAGTGGTCCTAACGAAAACGTTTGCGAAAAGGAACTGAACAAACTGGTGAGCGGCACTCCAGTTCATCAAAAATACTACATACACTATGCACACTGCGCGATTTTTCAGTTCTTCCAAGTAGTTGTCGAAGTCCAGTTCGTCATGCAAATAGTATAAGGTTTTTTCGTCCGTTGTTGAATCCCCTTGAAGACGAAGTATGATTAGCCGTAAAGCAAAGAAAAGGTCAATTCCTGGACAACTTACCGGTTAAACAAATGAGATGAGTATCAGAAGTATCGGAGAAAAGACTCGGTGAAAGCTCATCCAGGCGTTTCTCACACGCTTGGATGTTCGTAGTCAAAGGATCGAACATCCAGGTACCAAGGTGGTCCTGCAATCTTTGGCCATGTCTCTCTTCACACATTGCTTTGAGGGACGCTTAGCTAACATTGACAATCCACTGATAGGAACTATGAGACAACCAGAGGGTTGAAAACCGGCGTTGTTCAGCTAAGCCTCGTTCGTTGTACTCTATATGAACTGCAAGGCGTAATCACGGGATTGGGGGTCCGTTGTGCTACAACATCGGAAGTTGTCCTTCCAGCTTCTCGTTTCTGTCTCGCAAAGCGGTTGTTTGCATCGTTGGACAAAGAGCTGAGCCAATGAGACGATTGAACCCAGACATAGCTAGCCCCTCTCCTCAACAACCATTCCATCCGATGTATGACAACCCCGCACTGCACAGCCCCAGACTCGACAAATGGCTACAAGTATGGTGTGCCGGACGATCATAGAAAAATTATTGGTGGTCCGGATGCATGATCGGCCTGGTGAGGGTTATAATCATGTTCTCTTCTTTCAAGCTCAGCGCCGTGAAGCTCACTTGTAATCTTTCTAAGGCTTTGTCAGTTCGAGTATCTGCTAATGACGGTGCTTCTTACCAAGGGGATTTCTTCAGGAGCATAAAATTCGATGGCCTCTTTTATTTCCTGATCATTGCATCAGTGGCTTGAATAACAACTAAAAAAGCAGGGTTGTGCATACTTTGATCTGAAACCGGTCTTCAGGCATGTCAGGGTAGTTCTCCCTTGGGTATCGCTTCTCTAGAAAAGCTTTCAAAGCCTCGAGTTTGATATATCCTGACTCTTTCGAAGAGATGACATTATGAACGGGATGGTGCGCCATGTTCGTCGGCACAACACGGTATGAGGAAAGAACTACAATACCAAAGTGGACAGGGAAAGTAGTATGTATCACTCCCAAACAAAGTCTCAGGGGAATGTTGAAGGTTGACGCGAATTCTAGAGTAACTTCGAGTAAGGCTCAGTATGATGATTTATATGACATCGAAAATCCCTCTCTTTCCCTTTGCGGCGCAATCCAAATGACCATTTTCTGTCAGCAAGCTCCGCCCAATTGGCCTAACTAGCCAATAAGAACACAAATTTCCCCGAATCCTTACAGCAAGTGTCTCCCGGTTGGTGGGCAAGGCTGAGGTGTGACCACGTCCCCGACCAGGATTATGCCACCTTGTTAGACGGGATGCTGCAGAATTGATCTTCTGACCTAGCAAGGCAACAAGCCATTATTTCCTGTCGAGTAGGCAACGAGGCTTAAAGGCTGCCTTGGCGCAGTATAGATTATCGTTCTCGTATACAGGCATAGACTGATTTATGGAATATTCAACCGGCCCCACATTCCGTAAGTCGAAAACAATTGGTCAACTTAAAGAGAGTTTCAGCATATAAGACCCGATGTTTTCTCATAGACTTTAGCACTGATTTTAAGGTTTACTAATTTGCGAAACCCTTTTAATCATTGATCGAAAGGCATATAGTTGAAATAAAGTTGAAATATCGACCTCGGGACAAACAAGCCGATAATTTTACACCAAGGTTAGCAACGTCTTTGCTATTGAACTTTTTTCTGTACTACCATCTAACTCAATGAAGATATATTGCAAAACCAATTGGAACCATCAAGAAACCCAGTTTCGACTCTAACATGGCGAACAAGCGACAGTGCACTGTTGAAAGTATCCTACGAGGTAAGATTGAAGAAGCAAAGAAAGGAGTTAAAGAGTTCCCGGAGAAACGTTTCGTCATCCTGGAGGACCTTCAGCGAATATGGCAAACAGGACATCGAGATGAATTTTACACCGACAAGGGCAAGGACTGGTACCGTCCATTCTTGGAAGATTGCATAACGAGCAAGCTTCTCAGGATCATGTCGATCCTGATCATGTTGAGGTTCAACAGATGGGATAAATTTGGCGAAATTTTCTTAGGTCCAGACATCTACAGAGAGCACGCCGACGAAGAGCTTCCAGAAAACAGGCGATACCGCCCCAAACGATGCGACGATCACCTGCCATTCAAAAGGGAAGACCTGGTAGACGAAGGCTTCTTAGGAATGGAAGATGGTGAACCCTTTTTCATGCTTCAAGGAAATTTTTGTCCTCTAGTAATCGAGGAACGGCACGAACCTTACGATCTGACTCCTGACGGCGAGCATTTCGGATATCGCCTTCCTTTTCTCCACCGTCCTCCCAAAGAGTTCGCAAGTGGAGCATCTGCCAAAGTGTTCAAGGAAATTATACCACCCAACCATATACGGTATTTTGCAAACTTGAGGCCAAGTACAAACTTCCAGGTTAGTAACCCACAGTTGTAGCCATGTATATGTGCTGACGACCAAATCAATACTACAGAATAAGGCAGTGGCTTGCAAAAGAGTACTGAAAGAAGAACGTTTCGACAAAGAGTTAAACAATCTGAAGGAACTCCGCAGATGCCTTAGCCAGCACAGCCGGATCATGGTGAACATTGCCACTATAATCGAACCTGGCTCGAAGGAACCAATCTTGCACATCCTGTATGACCTGGCGGCATACGACCTGAACACATTCTTGACAGTTGAACTGAAAGAAAGGTCTATATCTCCACTGCGTCGGCACGATTCAGCACCCCCAGGACGCAATGGTTCCGATCATTACACTGCTGAAGATCTGATTTGGGAAAGTCATAATCTTGCCGACGCCCTCGACTTCTTGCATTACCGTCTTCTTTACGATGAAGAAGTAATGTGCGCGCACAATGATCTCAAGCCGAACAATATCTTGGTGTTCTTTCCAGACAGCAACGACCGAGATCAAAGATACCCCGTTGGCTTGTGGAAAATTGCCGACTTTGGTATTTCAAGATTGAAGGATCGAAAAGAAGGGAAATACCTAGATGCGAGACACCGGCGCGAACGTTCAGGCTCATTCTCCAGAACCACGTCAAAGCGAGAGCCAGGCACTTACACCGCGCCTGAAGTGAAGGGGGAAGGCCTGGATCAGCCAGATGCGCGTTACGGTGACATATGGTCCTTTGGTTGCATTCTCTCTGAGATACTCGCCTTTGCGGTAGGCGGACCAGTTCACGGACCAAAGCTCGTCAACGAACTAGGAAGGGAGCTTTTAGAGAAATACGAGCACCAACGGTTTTACGACGACAAGAACAAAGTCAAGAGCGAGCTCATGCCTTGGCTACGAAGTCTTCCCCAAAAAGCCCCTCGTCGGGAAGCAAGAGACACGAAGTGGGTCAACCAGTGTGCTGATCTCATCTACAATATCCTGAACGCAGAGGAGCCCAAGAAAAGACCAAAAGCAAAGGAAATCTGTGATCAGCTACGAGAAATAAAAAAGGACATGACAAAAAGAACGATGAAACAGCCTCAAAAACAAACTCTCATACCCCTTGACGGTCAAATAGGAATGGAAGAACCAGATGGTGACACTCTCGGCATGGGGTCCGGAGACACTGAGGATGGAAACCCGACGATTGAGTTTTCCTACGCGGACTCTTCGTGTGTTGAGAGTCCCGCAAACGACGACGGTGTGTCGAACCTCCCATCAAATCGTGACCGGGATATTCACGTCTCTAGGGATCCCAAGAGAGTAATCGAAAGATTGATCAAAGCCGAGGGCAGCAGCGAATACTGGATCTGGGGTATATCGGACGACCTCGAAAGCCAGAAAACATGGAAGGCTTCAGTGGCGTATCTAAAAACAAAGACACTGCGGTGGAGATGTCCCACAATGGTCTACTATGCGCCTTCCGCTGGAGAGCAACATTTTATCTATGCACTAATGGTACAATTGCGCCCTGAGAGTCCGCCTCAAGCTTTTCCGAGTATCGATTCAGCACTAGAAGCCCTGAAGAATACCCTCATCCGAACGAGAAAACCTATATTTGGCATCTTTTTCGGTTTCGACTTGAAAATGCAGTCCACCATGAAAACCCTGCTCGAAGCAAAGAACTATTGCACAATCACATTGATATTTTTTACAAAAGAGAAGGAGCCATTACTCGAACGCTTCATCGATCCAAAGAAAACATTCTTCGCTGTGGAGTCCGGATTTACCAATCGGTCCTCAAGTCATCTCTTTAGATAGTCGTGTCTCGAATACGAATGTAATTTTGGAAGAGAACTTTAGTAACGTCCGTCATTGTGAAGTGAGATTAATCGTTTTGCGAGATATTTATGCATATATAGAGTAGAAGAAGAGACCCACTTAAGACATAGAGTCTATAAATGCCCTAAGACCTTTTTATACATACCTAGGACTCCGGCTAGGATCCAGATAAGGAGTACTCTATAGGGACTACTTATATTATCCCCTATCTTGCTAGACAGTAGATCTTAGTTTATAATCACGGAAGTTACATTATATCGCGACGTCTTAGGTTAGTAAGGTAAGTTTAGGCAGGGAGGTAGACAAGGAGCACTCTGTAGGGACTCCTTGTATCGTTCCCTGTCTCGCTAGCGGTGGATCTCGGTGGCAGTGACGGACATTATACTCTATAGTACAGTACTCGAAAATACTATTACGATAGCGAAACTATGGCTCAGCTACCTACAAAGCCATTTTAACATGCCCTGTTGCGGTCTGTGTAGCAATCCTGATCGACAAACAGTTTCCCTGATACCGGAAACATGGCCACAACATCCCGGAACGCTCATACCTAGGACACCGTCAAAGTAGCGTTGTTCGTCAAGTCAGCGCTCGAAGTGCCCATGAAGATGGTGAAATCGCCAGGCTCAACGACATATTTCATCCTGAGATCCCAAAGCCCAAGGTTCTCAACCTTCACGTCGATAGAGACATCCACAGTCTCACCGGCCGGAATATTGACTTTCTTGAATCCTTTGAGCTCTTTGTTTGGTACTGCCACACTGGCAATCTGGTCGGCAACGTACAGCTGCACGACCTCTTGTCCATCGCGAGTGCCATTGTTTGTCACGCTGACAGTAGCCGTGATCGTATCCGAGGCAGTGGCAGTGTTTGAAGATAGAGAGACGTTGGAATAGGCAAAGGTGGTGTAAGACTTTCCGTATCCGAACTCGTACAGTGGCAACGGCGAGTTGAGGACGTATTGGTGTCCGAATTGGAGTGTACCGTTGTCGTACTCCATTCCAATGTCGAGACTACGGCCAGAATTGAGGTAATCATAGAAGATTGGCGTTGTACCGACATCATATGGGATGCCAACAGAAAGCTTGCCGCTTGGATTATGGTCGCCATACAACACATCTGCCAGAGCATTTCCGTTCTGCTCCGAGGGGTAGAATTGCTGCACCAGTGCGGAGGCGTTTCTTGAGATCCAGGGCTCAGTGACGGGTTTTCCGGACTGGAAAACGACTACCGTGGGCTTTCCGGTATCAATAATGGCTTTGACCAGAGCACCCTGCGCTCCCACGAGCTTGAGAGAAGAAACATCGACGTGTTCACCAGTGGTCGCGTTATAGTTTTGCCACAGGTACGTCTGGTCGCGGGACCATGTGCCAACCAATACAACCGCAACATCGGCATCTTTAGCCGCTGCGACAGCTTCCGGGAAGCCGGATTGATCATTTGACCAACGCTCCGTGCCAAGCGCATAAGTGACCTTCCCCTTGGATGCAGCTTTGATGCCTGCAAAAGGAGTTACGCCGCGGTACATTGAGTCTTCGACGACATAGTCTCCATACTGTATTGTGTTAGGTCACTGTTCTTGAGATGGCGTCAATCACTTACGTTCATAAAGTCCGCCATTGGTCCAATAACAGCAACACTAGCAGACTTGTCGAGCGGCAAAACACTGTCCTTGTTTTCCAGCAGAACGATAGACTCTGCATCAAGTTTCCTTGCAAGCGCCAGAGACTTGGACGTATGCACCAAGGATGCTGTCTCGTTGGCCGGAACGGCCAGGTAAGGGTTCTCGAAGAGACCCATGGTGAATTTGGTCCTGAGTGTTCTAGACACTGCTTCGTCGACGACCGAGATGTCGAGTTTCCCTGACTCGACCAAATCAGGGATCTTCTTGAAGTTGTAGGAGCCGCCTCCCATTTCTATGTCGTTGCCCGCTGGCAAAGCATACATAGTGACTGCATCCGAGTCAATAGGGCTGGACTGGCACATCTTGAAAGCGGTACAGAGTCTGTCAGTGCCTCCTGCGTCTGACATGACGTAGTACTCATAGCCCCATTCGCCACGCAGGATCTAGATGAACGTCAGCAATTAAGGGGTAATGCACTACAATGAGAACGCCAAGTGTAGTACATACGTCTGTTAAAGTGTGGTGGTCAGCAACTGCCGGAACACCATCCCAAGAGTGGTATGCCGACATGATGCTCCAAGCACCAGCATCAATGATAGCACGCTTGAATGATGGCAACCAGGTCGTCCTAAGCTCTCGTTCGCCTCCGTGGACGGGCCCGGTGTTGAGACCTTGTTCTGGGCTGCTAAATCCCGCAAAGTGTTTGACCATGGCGCTGACATTCTTGCCTTGCAGACCCTTGACAAAGGCATACCCCAGCTCACCTGCGAGGTACCCATCTTCACCATATGTCTCTTCCACACGGCCGAAACGGAGCTCTCGGGCCAAATCGACTACAGGCGCAAAGATCTGGTTGATACCCAATGCAAGCGACTCCTGTGCAATGGTTTCGGCCATCTCTTCAATCAACTCTGGATTGAACGAACAGGCATGGGCAATTGGACTGTTGAAAATGGTCGCGTTGAAGAATGGGACTATACATGGTAAGTACCAAGCTACTACATTAATTGGATGTGAGGCTTACCTCCATGAATTCCTTCATTTTGTGCCTACAAACACTGTCAGCCTGTCCCAATTAGGTTTGCCTGGGAGGATACTTACTATAGCTGGGATTCCCAGAGTTGTGTTTTCCAACAGGTAATCTTGCGCTCGCTTCACAGCAGCGGCTATCCATTGCTGAGGAATTGGATACCCCGTCCAGATATGACCAGCTCCCCACTCCATGTTGTCAACAAGACCAGTGTAGTTGAACTCATTGGTAGTGTCATTGATGAAGTTCGTAATGTCTCCTTGAAGCAACTGGGCAGTCTTGTCTTGGATGGTCATCCGAGACAGCAGGTCGGCGACCCGGTCATCGACGCTGGCAGACGGATCCTTGTACAGAGGAGAGGTACCTGTGGTCCCATTAGAAGGCGCCTGGCCATTGACGGCCAGAACAATGGTCGTGAAGGCCGCCAAGATTGCTCTCGAGATCATCATGAGCACCGTATCCTTTTCTCACGCTGACTGAGACAACAGACGGGATCCTTCCATGCAGCACGCGCGCTCGAGTTCTTAAATTATGCTCGGCCCAGAAGTATTTGCGGGTACCCGAGCCGTCATTCAGGGAAGTGGGTACCTCAAGTGATCTCGGACATCTCGGCGGAAATGCTCTTCAGGGACTAGAAACATTTAGCCAGAATTACCCCTCTGTGGCCCAGTCGCTCGCTTCCAGAACTTTTCGCACACCCGCCTTGGTGGCGCTGCATGACCACGAGCGAGCGACGAGGCAGACAGCTGAGGATTAAGTGCGGCGAGCATGCAGGGCGACCATTGGCGGATATTCTGATCTCACGGACCCACTAAAAGCCGGTCTGGGGAAGCAAGCGACGCGGAGTGCGGGGGAAGAGTTGGCGAGGGCGGGCCGAGACCTACATGTACGAGGCGAGGCGCTCCGAGTGGAGGGATGTGTGGCATGACATGGAGCCATGGAAATGATCTGCGCAGGGAAGGGTTAGCTCCGCGTTTTAATCGGCATGGTCTCTCCAAGCCATACCGGGTAAACGTTGTGTAACCTTGTGATTACAGCAAAATGTTTTGTTAAAAGCTTTCATCGCATCCTCGTGCATTGTGTGCGAAAATTGCAGCTTCCCTCCGTGTACACAGGATTTCCCAATATGGGCTTATTCTTCAATATCTCCTTGGCCGTTTTCGCGGCCACAGGGTAGGTGGAAATGGCCATTACCTTCGTAGAGAAGAATGGAAAACTGACGGAATCCCAGATCATTCCTGTTCGGCTATGACTCTGGTGGTGAGTCTTTCCCTGCCATAGGAATGGAAGTGCCCTCGAGATGAGACCTGACGCGGATATAGTCATGACCGATGTGATCCAATCACCGCATTTCCTCAGCTTCTTCGATACCTACAAAACATCCCCTATAATAGGCGCGATCAACTCCACATTCTCCGGCGGGGCTGTATTCGGAAGCCTTGTAAGTTGCCGTCGAAATACGAGCCCGCGATGGACACTGACTTTTGCTAGATGGGCGGTCTCACAATGGACCGTTTTGGTAGAAGGAAAACCATCCTCATCGGAGCGACCCTCGCATGTATCGGTGCTATCCTTCAGAGCGCAGCGCAAGCTCTCGCGATGATACTTGTCGGACGTATTCTGGCTGGTTGGGCCGTCGGCGTGCTCTCCATGAGTGTACCTGTTTACCAGACCGAATGCGCTCACCCAAATAATCGAGGATTCATCGTTGGTCTAGCCCAGCAAATGATCGGAGTGGGCTTTATCGTATCCACCTGGGTCGGTTATGGTTCCAGCAAAGTCCCAAAGACAAGCTCATTCTCTTGGCGGTTCCCTCTAGCCTTCCAGGCTCTACCGTGCGTCATTCTGATGGCCGGCATCATGTTCTTCCCCGAGTCCCCTCGGCATCTACTGGAGAAAGACAAAGATGAAGAGGCTATGAGGGTGCTCCGAAAGCTGCACTTTAATGGTCAGAATGAAGATTGGATACAGTCTGAATTCCACGAAATTAAGACCACCATCGCCGCTGAGAAAGCTATCACTGCACCGTAAGTGAACTGGATCCCAAAGGATTTTACATACTAACCTCCTCTCTCTCGTGTAGCGGTTGGCGCATCATGTTTACCGTTAAGCAATGGCGTCTCCGTCTCATGCACGCAACCCTCATGCAAGTTTTTACTCAGATGACCGGGTAAGGCTCAATGCCTATTATCTCAGACTATGGCTAACATCAGCGAAGAATCAATGTTATTAACTATTACCAAACAATCATGTACGAACACCTTGGCATCACAGGTGGTCGCAATTTGTTGGTTACCGGTATCTACAATTGCGTTGGACCTATAACCAGTGAGTTTTTGACATGGATAACTGACGGTATTGACATACTGACGTACCTGCAGATTTTATCTTCATTTCGACCATGCTGGACCGTGTTGGTAGGAAGAAAGTGAGTAAAAAACCTCCACCTTACTTAGAAACTGGCTGATTATCTACAGCCCCTGTTGTTCGGTTCGGTTGCAATCACAATTGCTCTTGTATGTGAGGCCATTCTCAACTCTCAGAACCCTGGTGGCAAAAAGGAAGGACTGTCCATTGGTGGCGTGTTCTTCATATTCCTGGTCACAGTGGTACGTTGTCTGTGCAATTGCAAGAAAAGCCAATGGCTGACTCTCTGCAGATCTTCAGTGTCTCTTTCGGCCCAATTAGCTGGGTCTACGCAAGCGAGATCATGCCTATGCAAATCAGAGCTCGCGGAAGCGCTTTTGGTAAGCCGAATGCCCGCGGCATATACAGTCGGACAAAGCTAACGCTAAATCGTAGCAACTGGGATCGGTAACTGGCTTGTATCCACGATTTGGAGTCAGGTCTCGCCCATCGGGCTGGGTGACATTAGTTGGAAGGTCAGAAGCTGCTGTTCCCTTGCTCTTAACGAAACCTTTTTGTTAACACCAGTCCAGTTTTACTTTGTGTTCGCGGCTTTCAACGTCTGCGTTACGATTCCAACGATTGCCTTGGCTTTCAAGGAGACGAAGAAGCTATCTCTCGAGGAGATCGACCTGCTCTTCTCGGATGGCCGCGCTCTTGGAACCTTGCCGGAGAACATCCATGAGGTCAAGGAAGTGCCAGAGATCTTGACCCATCACCAAAGCAAGGTTTGAGATGTATCCGTTGGGATCGAGTCGGGAAAAGTGATGATTTGAGACGGGACGATTCCCCATGCGGCGTTTGGGTTACGACGTTCTTTCAAGATGATGTATTGTAACGAGTAACGAGTGTTTGCTTAACTGTGTTTCCAGGGCCATAAGGGCAGTGATTTTCGCATCATGCCAAACTGCAGACGATAGACGTTCGATAGTGACGATGTTTGATGGAGGGAGGCCCACGTTGATATCGCGCCAGAAATTCCGGTCGTGTCGGTCAACGGCACCCCGGCCCGCACTTGCCGCAAAAGGAATAGCGCATCTAGCATCTCATGATGCACATCCCACATTTCAATCTCGACATCCATGTTAACTTGGAATATCGGAGCGCTGACCGCTAGTACCTTCTCGCACGGAGCTCTCTGCTTTTAAAATTCGGCTTTGCCTTTCTCTTCCCCGTGTAGTCTACAACTTGTTAAACATCTTCTGCCCCATCAAAAAGCGCCTAAAAACTGCTATTCCTGGCTTTTCTTCATCTCTTTGTTCCACTGGTGTTTTGATCACGAAGGCTCAACATTAGAAGGACCAAAGCGCATCCAATACACGTTCCTGCGTTCACGACCGCGTAACCCTTGCTCATTCCATCACATCCAATTACCGGCACGCGTCCATCTACTTCCGGAACTCATGCCATTAGTTGCAATCCGGCCCCGCAAGCCTCGTTTGAACAAAATCCCGTCAGTGGGGTTGTGGGGTGCGTGTTAGGTCGCATCGATCGATTGACTTCACGACAGAATTTCTACTCGTGTACTTTGTAAAGGACGAATATACGCAGTAAGGCCTCGAATATCACAAACATCAAGACGAGAAGAACGGCTCCAAAGCAATGGAATGGCCAAATAGTTGAAAAACGTGAAAAAAAAGTGGGCTCTCCCACCTATACGTCTGAAGCAGTCCCTTTAATCCATAATATAGTTGCTACTGCAAGCAGTGCTGATGACACAAAGAAACTTCCGCTATTCCTCATGCCCAAAGTCTTAATATTCCACCAGAAATGCCAAACTCGCCCATCTTCAACTAAAACCCTTCGGTGAAGTCCATCAAGGCTTCAAAAAGCTGCGCATCTGGGCTATCGGCAAATCGTGCCACAGCTTCTGCTCGCGACTCGAAAGGAAAACGATCTGCTGTACACAGTTCATTGTCCTCAGGGAGCTCCCCGGTGCGGAAATACTTTCTAACATGCTTCGCAGTGCAGACAGATGGCGCAGCAATAGTAGTATGCTGTGCCTTGTTAGCAGCGTTTAAGAAAGTTCATTCGTCAATAGGACTTACTCCATCAGAATCTAGATGTAAAACACTCGAGCCCGGAAACCGAGTTGCCATCTGCCTCGCGGAACCCAACGGCGTCACAGGATCGTTTGTGTTCCCAATCCATAGAATAGGATGCGTGGTATTGCCCTCAATCGGCTCGGAAAGCCTCCAAGCTGGCTTAATTGCCCATTGTGAGCATGCGAGAGTCGACTCGATGAAGACGTCGCCGATCGTGTAACTTTGCTCCCGCAACCTCTGCCAATACTCCAAGTTTTCCTCGTAACTCTTGCCGTAAACGCCTTCCATATCGGTACACCATATAGCGTCATTAATCTCTTCTTCGGCGAGAGGCAAGGCGAAGTCATGGCAGGTTTCAGACCATGGACCATCCCGTTTGCAATCCTGAGTAGGGTAAATGACTTCACGAGAACCTTGCTTATATTCGGCCAACAAGGTACCGTTGCCCTGTCCAATCTCGAAGATGATTTGGGCAATGTCCATGGAATGCTCGAGCGGGAAATATATAGCCTTGCTCATATGTGAGGAAAGATCGGCGGCAGTGATGACATCGGCTGAATAACGGCCATGCGCTTTTACAGGAATAGGGCGCCTTTGGAGCGTGGCAGTGATATTCTCATAGGTCTTTTTGATAGCCTTTGGACCGTTGGAGGAGTACAACGCGCATTTGTCTGGGCCGGCAGCGTAGCAGTGTTGATAGAAATTTGTCCAAACTTTATCCGCATCAATCAGTCCTGGAAGATAATTGCCTGAGTGGTCAGTATGAATGTTAATTAGATACCGGTGCATGAGTAATACCTCCATAATAATGCTCCGCTTGCACTACGCCGTCAAGCACCACACGCTCAACTCTTTCGGGATGAACTGCAGCGAAAGTTGACCCAAGAACAGTACCATATGAGAAGCCCCAGTACAGCAACTTCTCTTCCCCCTTCTTCCAACGAGTTCGTTCGAGTGCTCCGGAGACCTGGTCTGGTTGTAAAGACATGACGAGCTCAAGTCCTCTTTTTTCACGCCACTCCCCGAGGCGTTCAATGATTGCAATCATGTCTTCAACAACCACCCGCGTGTTCATGTGGCGCCCAACCTCATCGAGTTCCCCTGAAGTGAGCCTTTCGGCGCAGCTCTCAGCAAGAGCTTGCTTCCTCGCCCATAGTGCGGCAAAGGTCTCATTAGAGTGCGGAGTTCCATGGGTCTGACTTTGGATTATCCAGTTTTGCCGTGTGAAATCATCAGGGAAGCAGGAAGCATGAGGAGTTGTTTGATTAACGCCTCGAGGATCGAAGCCAATGATATCATAATTTCGGTCTTCTGCGTCAATTATGGTTTGGATGGATTTGCCATGTTTTCCAGCGAAGCCAGAACCGGAGTTTCCAGGCCCGCCTGGATTGAGCAAGACAGAGCCACCATAGTGCGAATGGGTTATGGGTACCTTTGCTGGTAATCTTGTTATTGCAATGGCAGCACGTCTTGGGTCTGAAGCATTTTGCCAGTCGAGCGGAACACTAAGCCTTGAGCACTCAAACTCTCCATAGCATGGTTGGAAATTTAGGTGCTCCGTTGGTGTGACCTGCAGTCTTTAGTTCACTGCTCCTGGTTCGACTCCTACAACCACTTACCTGTGACCACTTGAAATCTGATCCATAATCGAGGCCTCCGATCGTATCGCCTTCACGCCACCAAATTGTATACAGAAGCCATATGCTGAGACACGCGGCAACCCCATAACCGAACCCTAATCTTTGTTCACGGGTATTATCGGTGGCTCTTTTCCGGAGGTTGGGGCGAAGGAGCGCACTCTTTTCGTCCATTTTCGGCTCCTCTCGAAAAGACCGACGGTGCCTTAACCCAGACATCGGGCTTGCTGGACGGGTGGGTTATAAGGTTTTAGCCTCACGGGTACGGCGGACCAAGCTGAAGATGGAGGTCCCATGATGAGGTGGGGTCTAGCGAATCGCATGGGAGATGCTGGGATTTGCAGCGAAGATTGCCGCTTACCGACCGTTTGCATGACGTGCTTGCGTCACCCTATTTTGCCATCGACACAGACCGCCTTGAGATAGATAAATATTCGAACTTGACAAAATTTGGTATGCCCCTATCGTCTATGTGAATCATCTAATACTCGATACATGAAACGCGCTCGCAAATCTAGAAGCACCTTTGCCGTTTGATAACATTCTTGACTCACTTCTTATGCCTCACTGCCATCTCTCCATCTTTCATCCCATCCTTCTAAAGTCCCAGCGTATTTTCCTACTCCACTTTGCACTCTTAGTCTCAATGCTTGCTTCGTAGACTGTTCATACGCCGCCAAGTTGAGCACATCGCCTCTGGGGTTCCAGCTTCTCAGGACGTTTATTGGGGCTCGTGAGCGCTCAAGGCGGCTCAGGCCCTTGCCGCGACCTCCCGTACGCACCAGAGCATGCTGGTACATCGGGTCCGGGTGTGGATCTGCAATGGAAGTGAAGTCCATCTGGATTACGCTGTTTTCAACACCAGCAAAGATGGAAGGTGAGAACGGAGAAGGCGAGGTCAAGGCATAGATAGGAGAGTCGATGGAGCGGCGGTCAGGTGCACGCCCAGAACGTCCCCGCTGATTGTGGCTTTGGTTGCGTGGGTTGAAGAAAAGGTTCCAGCCGTGGCTATCAGAAGTTCCGGTTTCAGGATGGACATCATCCGTGATGAGGCCATTTTCTTCCGGGCCAGTATTTTCCAAAGTTGGCATCCCGACGTCGGCATAGTGATACGCTCTTCCGCCTCCTACGCGAAGGTCAAAGAACTTGACCATGCTGTGACGTGAGCTTCCCACGACTAGTCTCTCCCTTGCAATGGGTTGTAGAGCGTACACCGCGCCGTCATCTGTTGGATCCCAGTAACAAGACTCGTACGCTGCTGGTGAACGCATATCATGCACTCGCACAACACCATCATAGCCACCGCTGAGGAATATGTTGGGGTCATTCCTGTCCGGATCGACAGTAGATGGCAACGTGGCAATAGAGTAAACTGACGACTGCTTTGCCGTTGTTTCCACATTGTCCACCCGCTCGTCGACCACTCCCAACCCAGTCCCGTCTATTCCAAATTTACGAATAGGGTCTTTCGCAATGCCAGTCGGCGTTACCGAATAGACGTGAACAGGTTCAGTTGAAGGACCCAGTCCTACAGCTAAAGTGACTGGTGACAAGAAACGAGTTGACCAGATGCGACAAGTCTTAGTAGGCTCTGGTGAGATTTTCAGATGGCCGACGGATTCTACATCATTCGGATTCCCTTGGCGGTATACCGGATACAGTGCCACCGTTGAATCGGAAAAGGCTGCTGCAAGCAACGGGTTCGAAGACTGTGATACATCTGTTGCTCGAACAGAGCGCTTGTTCGTGGCATATATTGCTCGCCTTGCACTTACCTGACCACCTAACCCAAAGTTGACCAGGTTGAGGTCTCCATTTGCCGTCCCAAGGATTATAGACTGTCTGTCGAGCCCTCTGTACCCCGCAAACTCGGACTCCCTCTGCCAAGGCCTTAGAATATTGAGGCAGGTTATGTCGTCGCGTCCTTCGTGGGCGCCAGGCATCTTGAAGGTAAACCAGCTTGACTTGTGATGATACTGGTCGAAGCAACGTTGACGCACATCAGGTGATGCCTTTTCCCATTGCTTCTCCACTCCTGGCCCCGTTACATTCTTGCGTATGAGGAGCTGCGCTCCGGCACTCCAAACCAGTATCTCTTCTCTCTCACGCCGTCTGCCTTTGTTTACGTCTTCGTATGAGTCAAGGCTAGGCTGGAAGCCCATGGTTTGCCCCCGTGGCTTTTCCCATCCCGCCAGCTGTTTGCCAGTATTCAACGAAGTGATGGAGCCTCGAGGCTCAATGTAACGGGATACGAAGGCTTTGCGGTCCCAGTTTCGGGATAGGGTTGTCAAGCTGTGAGCGCTATAGCGCGCAGGGCGGTCATCCTGTGGGTACGAGGGAAAGCGGGTGCGAAGAAATATCTTCCATCCTTCCTTGTCGACAAAGGCGTGGAGCTTGCGGCAGGTGAGCGACAGTTGGCCAACGTTGTGGGCGGTTGGCAGGTATTCGACTATGTGGGAGAGGAGCTCGAAGGGGAGGTCCGGTAGCATAGTAGTGAAGCGGGAGTTGGCGGGAGTGATGGAAGCCGATGATTGCGGCTCGTGGTTGCATCATCGCCTCTACGCATGACTCAAGCTCGGCCCGCCCCGTCGCCAACCACCGACTCATGCATCAATTACAAACCTTCTCTGCTCTCCGACCTGTCTACTCTACAACCTCAGCTACACCTGTCACCCCTGACGCATTGTTCGGCAATTGTCAATGCCTGTCCGTTGAGTGAGTACCCACTAAACATGGGTCATGGCTGTACCTTCGACAACACTGCTACCTGCTGCAGCATGAGCCCCAACCAAGGCGTCCCAATAACCGGCAATTCTTTCTGCGGGGTGTCATTTTCTCCGCATCTGGGGTTCATTTACCCGGGCAATATGGTAGTACAAGGTCCCTCTCCCGTCTCATAAACCTGCAGTTTCTGTTGTCCAACATGTCTCTGAGTTCTGTCCCTTCCGCCTCGCCCTCGTATATCTCACCATGAAGTTCTGGACTCTTTTGGCTTCCTTTGCATTCACATCCTTGTCACTCCTCCCGTCATGCACCTCCCAATCTACTCGAAACTCCAGTTACACGAATCCCATCTTTCCAGGTTTTCATCCTGATCCAAGCTGCATCTTTGTTCCGGAGTGGAACAGTACCTTTTTCTGCGCAACGTCCAGTTTCCTTGCATTTCCCGGTATACCTATCTATGCCAGCAGAGATCTCCAGAACTGGAAATTGATTGGCAACGTTTTGAGTCGTCCTGAACAGCTGCCGGAGCTAGCCAACACTGCCAAGCAAACCAGCGGTATCTGGGCTCCTACTATCAGATATCACAATGGCACGTTTTACCTGGCGACAACCTTAGTCCACGATGATAAGGACGCCGCAGATCCTGCTCGCTGGGATAACATTGTTTTCTCATCAAACGATCCGTACGATGCCTCCTCCTGGAGTGATGCGGTCCATTTTGATTTTGCAGGGTACGACACCAGCCTCTTCTGGGATGAGGATGGCCAGGCCTACGCCACAGGGTCTCATTACTTTCGCGTCCGACCGGGCATGGATCAAGCCACCATCGATCTAAAAACAGGGGACGTTGGTGAGTTTGCCACTATCTGGACTGGCACAGGCGGTCATGCACCAGAAGGACCTCATGTATACAAAAAAGACGGATATTACTATCTCATGATAGCGGAAGGAGGTACAGGGGTAACCCACATGGAAACCATTGCCAGATCGACCGCTATTAATGGTCCTTACACTGCCAATCCAGCGAACCCGATCCTGACAAACGCAAACACCACTGAATATTTCCAGACTGTGGGCCATGCCGACTTATTCCAGGATGCCTCTGGGGCTTGGTGGGGCGTGGCCTTGGCCACTCGATCGGGCCCCAAGCATGTCACGTATCCCATGGGGCGGGAGAGCGTTCTGTACCCTGTTACCTGGGATGAAGGGCAGTGGCCGGTGCTTTCTCCGGTCCGAGGGTCGATGGAAGGCTGGACCTTCCCGCCGTCAGATACAGCCATCCCTGGAAATGGGCCTTTCATCTCGTCTCCCGACGCAGTGGACTTTGATCCCGGTTCAGATCTCCCTTTGCATTTTCTGCACTGGCGCTTCCCCCAAGCGGATGCATACGCTGTGTCTCCTCCAGGTCACCCGAATAGTTTGCGCCTCAAGCCTTCGACGCTGAACCTGACCGGCTATGATGCCGATACCGCGCCAGGCGGTCAGACTCTGATCGCCCGCCGCCAAGAAGACACATACTTGACCTTCAGCGTAGATTTGGAGTTTTCCCCCGAGCAGAAAGACGATGAAGCAGGCGTGACTGTGTTTCTGACGCAGAACCAACACATTGATCTCGGCCTCGTACTTTTACCCACTAACGGCAGTCTAACGCCGCATCTCCGCTTGCGCTCCCAAAGCTCTAACTCTGTGCCCGGGCCCGTCACCTTGTCTTTGCCTGCTTCATGGCAGCAGCAAAGCATTCGGATGGAGATAAAGGCAACAAACGACACGCACTACGCTTTCTCAGCTGGGCCGACCACAAATACGTCGGAGAAGCAGACGGTAGGTTATGTGCCAGCAAGCGCAGTGAGCGGAGGCTTTACCGGTGAGTAATCGCCCGCAGAAACCGTGTAGCAATTAGGGTCGATGTCTAACACAATGATCCAGGCGCACTGGTAGGCGTGTACGCGACGAGCAACGGCGGCAACGGCACAAGCGAAGCGTATGTGCAGCGGTGGAGGTACGAAGGGCAAGGCCAACGCACCGAATGAAGCCATTGAAAAACCATGTGTAGCCAAGTATAGCCAAAGAACCACAGCAAGACGCAAAAGCATCCTCGCACCCGTCGCGTGCCTTTCCCCGTGACATGAATCGCACAGCACGTTGCGCGCGCGCGCGAGCGGGCTGGAATGCACCATGGACCATGGCTGCGCGCACAGCCTCGCAACCAGACTTTGGAGGAGCGGAGTCTAGGTAAAGTAGCAGCCAACCTCACCTAACCCAGCGCGCGCGCGCCCGCCACCCCAGCCAACTGAGAAGAGAAGGCCCACCAGCCGCGTTCCGTCTGGTAGGCGTACTGTAGCCGTATGGAGGGCGCGTAGAGTACTCGTATACTGTACATAGTGTAGCAGGGGGCACAGATCCCGCTACCCCACGGGGCCATGACTCGCGCTCGCGCACTCCTACGTCATCACTCCGCCCACCCGCAACGAGAACGACCTACGCCCGTTGCGCCCACACGCATAGGTAGGTACTCCGCCCAAACATCCCCGACGACAACGCGACCAGCGCGCCGGGCGAGGCGAGTGCGCGCGTGCGTGGCCGAAGACGAAGACGAGGCTGTGCTGCCTTGGCTCTTGGCCTGGGGATCCAGCGCCCTGGGCAGCAGGCAGGCCGCTAGGAGAGGGGTGAGTGTACGAGTGCGTAGCACTGCGCGCCCGCCGTGCCCCGCCGTGTCGTCCGCCTTATCGATAGGCTGCGCGCGCCGGCCACCGTTATCTCGTCGTGGGCCGCTCCCGTGCGCGTTCATCCATCGCGCGCTTTGGTTTATCAAGTTGGCTTACTTACTTACCGGACATCCATCCCTTCATCCAACTGTTCACACCCTCACGTCCTACCTACTCGACCTACATTACCTACCTACCTACCTAACTCAACGCCATCGCCACCATCACCACCACCCACGCCATGCTCTCCCTGCCCCTCCTTCTCCTCCTCCTCCCCCCCATCCTCCTCCTCTACTACCTCCACCACCACGTCCACCACCGCACCCGCACCTCCCGCCCCTCCTCACTCGCACACATCCCCCCCGCACACCCCCTAGCGCCCTACACGCCCCTCTGGATCCTCTACACGCGGCACCAGCAACGCGAGCTGCGCACCATCGACGCGGCGCACGCGCGTCTCGGCCCCGTCGTCCGTCTCGCGCCGAACGAGCTCAGCGTCGTGTGTGTGGGTCCTGGAGGCTTGGGGGGGATCTATACAAGCGGCTGGGACAAGAGCGAGTGGTATGCGTTTTTTGCGAATTATGGGTGAGTGGTGTTGTTGTTGTTTGCTTAGTGTGTTTTTGTTTGTTTGTTTGTTTGTTTGTTTGTTTAGTTTCTTGTTGGGGGTTGTGTGTGTAAGGGTTGTGGTGCTGGGGATGGATGGAAGGCCTGATGATGCAGGTGGGCGGGTGAGGTTGGTTTGCTTTTTTGTTTTTTTTTTTTGCTTTGTTGTTCGAGGCTGCTGTTGTGTCTTTTCTGGCTTGCTGGTGTTGGGACATGTTTGTTTTTGACGCGGCGGCTGCTGCTGCTGCTGCTACTGCCGCTTGAGCCTGCTGAGGCGGGAGAGGGTGAGACGGGTGGCTGCACTGCGCGGATGCGGATGCGGGCCTGGCAGGCGGGCGGCCTGGCGGGTGGGACGAGCGTGCATTGAGTGTGCCCGTACCTTGCGCCTTTTCCTTTTCCCATCCCCTGCCTCTGGCTTGCCTACCTACCTACTACTTACATGTGAAATGAAGCCGTTCTGATCAGTCCGTCTCAGTGTTCCACCGATGTTCGCGACGATTCCCTCTAAGCGACATGCTGCCCGCAAACGCATGCTCAGCAATGTCTACTCCAAGTCCGCCATTCAGTCGTCGCCGTCTCTCCGCGCTGCCACCAGCGTTATCCTGCATGGCCGTCTACTTCCCCTTCTCGCTGATTTGTCGTCCCAGTCCGGCGATGCGGCGGGTATCATCGACATCTACAACCTTTTCGCCGCCTTGACTATGGATTTCATCACTGCCTACCTGTTTGGCCTCTCGGCCAGCACAAACTTTGTGCAAGACACGACAGCCAGGGACGAATACCTGCGTCTGTACAGATGTCGTCAAGACTTTTCGTTTTGGCCACAGGAACTGCCCAAGTTGACCAGTTTCTTGGCGAAGATGGGCCTAAGGCTAGTTCCCAAGTTTGTTGACGAAGCGAATGCGTCCCTTGAGGCTTTTAACAGCCGTATGTGTGAAAAAGCGCGCACTGTCGCAGCAAAGACGTCGGCAGTGGAGCACCCGGAAGAGTATCCCGCCGTGTATGCACAAATGCAGGCTGCGATGGCGAGAGATCAGGAAAAGGCATCCGGAAATGGCATGGCCCCACTGAATGACGAGGAGCAGCAGACTGAGATGGCGTCCGAGTTCCTGGATCACTCGTCAGCGGGGTTTGAGACGTCAAGCATCACGCTGGCGTACTTTGCACACGAAATCTCGCAGCGCCCGGAGCTGCAGGACAGGCTTCGCGAAGAACTGCGCTCTCTCGATCCGCCGCTCACGCTCGACTCGAAGCCCGAATTGCCCAGCGCCAAGGCCCTCGACGCGTTGCCGTTGCTGCAGGCGACTTTGCAGGAGACACTGCGGCTCCACGCCGCGATACCTGGGCCGCAACCACGAGTCACTCCGGCCAAGGGAGCGTCATTGGGACCGGCGGGGCGGGAATACAGCGACTTGCCGGGCGGAGTGAAGGTGATGAGCCAGGCGTGGAGCTTACATGGCAACGAGGAGGTGTTTCCCGAGGCGGAGAAGTGGGTGCCGGAGAGATGGTTGGATAGCAAAGGTGAGCTGCTGACGGCGGAGAGCTCGGAGGGCGGAGAGAGGTATAGGGAGATGATGCGGTGGTTCTGGGCGTTTGGCAGCGGCGGGCGGATGTGCGTGGGCAGTCACCTCGCGGTTTATCGTAAGTGGGCAATCGGCGTGACCTACAGCTCGTACCTAGTGACACTTTGACTGACGCGAGATTGTTAGAGATGAAAGCGATAATCGCGGGCGTGTGGACGGGCCACTCGACGAGCATAGTGGGGACGAATATGATGGAGCAGATGGATAGGTACACGGCACCGCCGTCGGGGTCACGGCTGGTGGTGCGGGTGCGGGTAGAGTAGAGTACCTAGTCGAAGCGAGAGCGGGCGGAGCGTCGGGCCTCGCGATCAACGGCGTGGCTGCAGCGATGCAGCGATGCGGTGAGGGCGGGCAGAGTGGTACAGGCTGGGCTGGTTTTATGACATGTTTCGCCTGCAGGTGACTGTGCGACGCAGAAAACGAGAGTTTGGAATGATGTTAAGTTAAGAGGAGAGCTGCGGCATGGTTGTCGTCGTCGTCGTTGTTGTCGTTGTTGTCCTCACGTCCTCGTCCTCGTCCTTGTCCTCGTCTCTCGCTCCCTCTCTCGCTATCTCTCTCGCTCTCTCTACTCCCTCTCGCAAACAGCAAAAAGGCTTCCATTGCACCCGGCCGCGCGCAGCCCAGCCTGCGCGCTACCACGCACGCACATGTCTTCCTTGCATCGTCGAGAGCATAAATAATAAGTTAGGTTGGCAGCCCCCGCGCTTGGCTCTTCGGGCGGCCTAGCAAAGTCCGCGCCTCGCGATTCGCCCGACAAGTCTGGTAGCGAAATCGCCCAGCAAAAGCTCTTCAGCAAGCAGCAGCATGCGCGCAGTGATGCTGTGACTCTTCATCATCTCGACACGTCTTCAAGGAGCATCATCGTGCCGCACGTGGAGTCGCGCCCGCATCCGTCGTCACCACCTGAGCCTATTGCCCGCGACGCAACCGTATCGAGCCATCGGATGTCCGGGGAAGCCGCGACCTCTTTCCATCGCACCTTCCACCGTGGAGCCGCACCTTCTTCTCTCTCTTCTCTTGTCTCTTCCATTCTTCCTCTCCTCCTCTACACTACTCGCCTCGCCTCGATGCTTGAGGCCAGGCCGTCCACTTCTCCTCCACTTCCCCTGCACCGCCACTTTTTTTCTTCCCTAGACTTTTCTTTTTTTCTTTTCTTTCCTTCTTAGTCGACCGTTGACGTTGTTGACGTTGACTCGGCGCTCCGCAACGTGGCCCTTCCATCCTCAGCCCTTGGTGTAGTCATCGCTTCCCCTCTCAACCTTGGTTTGGGGCGGGGCGCCTGCCGCATTGTCTTCTGTTGTTCTTCTGGCTGCCCGAACTGCTTCCCTTCTCAAATAAATTCCGAGCCTCCTTCGGTGCCCCAAACTACCCTCGTAGCGTTAAGTAGCAACCGCGGGTCTTTCTCTTCCAGTCCCTCAGTTCCCTCGACACTACCGTCCTCGCTCTCCGCTACTTCCTTTCTTCGCCCATCACCCAAGGTTACGCCTGTTCTTCCCAGTCTGGAAAGAGGCCCTTCGAAACGCGTGCGCGAGGCAAAACACTCCATGGCGGGGAACTCCATGACGGGGATACCCATGTATACCTACTTCCCAGGGCCGACGTTCCCGCCTTCTGTCCCGCTCCAGCCCAGAGCCGCGAGCGCCAGCTTCGAGATTAACAGGTACGACAGAAGCTCGTCGCCATCTGCTGCGGCTACGGCTCTCCAGCAAGAACGAAGCGCAACAACTGATCGTGACGTTCAAATTAGTGGCGATGTAACTTTGTCGATTCGCCAGCAGCCCAAGGAGGCCCTCGTCTGCCAGGATGGAAAAGAGAAAAGCAAGTGCCTCCCGCAATGCGCGTCGCGGCAACAACATCAACTAACTGCGGCCATGCTATTAGCTCGGAAACCGGTGGATCCTCCCCCAATCCTACAGCTTAAGATTCGAGCCAGTGCCGATCCCCAACAGTAAGTAGGCCTTCCCGCCAGGAGGCCCGCCACATGCTTATTTATCTCATCGCCGCAACAGACATTTCATGCAGAGCCCGTACCTGTTCATGTGCTGTTGCTTGGTGGGTGCCAAAGACGAAGAAGACCAGCCCACTTCCAAGAACGGTGACAATGCTCTGGCCGGTACTGTTGTCTCTTCGCTTCATCGCCTAAAGGACGTTGACAATCACGGTAACTTGTCTCCCTGCCACAACTTCGATCAGAAGAGTTCGTCGTTGACAGGCCCCTCAGACGGCGCTTTCTTCGTCTTTGGTGACATTTCGGTCAAACAGTTGGGCCAGCACCGCCTCCGCTTCAGCTTATTCGACCTGCATAAGTAAGCATCGCTATCTCGACTTTGAAGGCTTGTCAAGCGGCTGACGACATTGTAGAAATAGCGGCGATGTTGTCTTCCTCTCAACCATCATCTCTGAGCCCTTCAGAGGTATGTATCTAATTTCGCTACTTCGCACCCCACTAACAAGGATTTTGCCAGTTGTTGCTCCCAAGGACTTTCGTGGGATGGAAGAGTCGACTTACCTCTCTCGTGCATTCTCTGACCAGGGCGTCCGTCTTAGGCTGCGCAAGGAGCCAAGGACCGTGATGAGGTGAGATCAAGGTCGTTTCACTGAGAGAGGACGTGTGCTGATATTAATGTACAGCGGCAGCAAGAGGTCGTTCTACGGTGAGAACCAGAAGCCAACTCCTACTCAACCACCCGCAGGCACGGTGACGTCTTCAACCAGCCAGTATCAGACCAGTGACTACCATCACGGTACACATACGGAAGATGATGCCAGAATCAACAAGCGGCCTAAACCGGACGCGTTTTCATCTTCCCCTTCGAATAGCCTGGCGGTTCGAGCGCCAAATAACTGGCATTCTAGTAGTATGCATCAGCAGTGGCCCGGCAACAATGGCTATGGTAATTTAACTGGTACCGGAATCCAACGCACCACGGACTACCACCTACAACCCTTCACTGGCGTGACAGGGGGGGTTCCACCATATCCCGCGTCCACAAACAACCTCGCGCCACTGCTTTCGCCCACCAACCTGGGCGGACGCGGGTATTCGACCCTGGGCCAACGCGGGTCGTTCCCCAACGTGACATTGCCCGGGGAGTACAACAGCGAAAGCATCGGTGCCGGACTCGACGACCTTCACGGGTTCACTGGGAGCGAACATCAACCAAGTGTCGATGCAACCGCCGACAGCACAGAGCTCAAGGGGTTTACGGACCAGCAAACTCCTCAAAGTTTTACGCATGCTGGTGATGCCAGTGTTCGCGGCGCGGTGCAATCTCCCGAGTACATGCGTGCCGGATTTCCACATGCCTACCATGCCTCACTCGCTCGCCCTCAAATAAATCCGTACGAAATGTACAGCGCCGCTGGTCGAGGCAGTGTCTCTTCGGGGTTCCCTGGCTATAACAACGCTCCTATGAGCCATTATCAAGAGCGAGTTCAACAAGCTCACCAACGTTTCCAAGATCAGCTGCCCTTGTCAGGCGAAGGCGACGATGGCAATATTGGGCCTCGTCATGATTTGGGCCCTCCTTACAATCCCCCACACCCGGAACATTTTGGAGAAACTGAGTAAATGTCCAGTAACAGTCGTGGCGCGGTGCAGAGATTCCCCCTTTCTTATTCACTGTCTGTTGTCTTGAGCTTTCTACTTCTGCTGATCGCTTCTCCCGGATTGCTCGCTTCTACCCCTGCGCATTATGGATGAGATTTTGGCGCATGCCCGGAGGATTCTTTTTCAAAACGCATCAACGGGCGCTCAACGGTAATTACCTCGGCTGGCGGTCTCGTGGACGGTGGGTCTTTGATACGTGAGCTTGTTGCTCTCCCACTGGTGTTTGGCGTTGCATAGCCGGCGCGGGTGGGGACAAAGATGTCATGGGGCGGGCTATCTGATATTTTTCTTTCTTTGCAATGCTCTTTCTCAGTCTGATATCTGGGCAGGTTTCCTTTCACCCTTCATTTTTTTTCGGTTTCTGCGTCCTTTAGCATTCTGCCAAAAGTCCCTGAGAATGATCCCTTGTAGAAGCTGCTGGCCTCGCGGCCATTTTCTTCCTGGTGGATACTAGTCATAATGGGGAGAGGCACAACGATCGAGCATGTAACTAGCTACTTGTCTTTCTTCATTGTTTTCTCTCTCGCTTTGGTCCGAAGAGGCAGGCTACATGCACACCTTTTCAGGAACCGCAAGCAGGCAGAAAAAGGCACTCTGGAAAAATGTACTCTATGATGGAGTTGCTGGCAATGAGTAGAGTAGGGAGAGGGGAGAGCCGTGGAACAGCAGCGTGTAGCTTTTCTGGCGCGGTTAACTATTAAGAATGAATTGAAGTGCACATTGAGTACCTCGGCGCCGTTTTTAGCAGAGCCAGGGGTCAAGAGCAAAATGCAGTTAGATGCCCGTCACTCGGCCGGCTCCGCGTAGTATAACTACCTAGTGCTGCTGCCCATCACTTTTTGCGTTCGGGCCTATCAGGCTGCGCCGGCGACATAGGTACGAGTAGGCCCTGCCTAGGTGCTTCGGAGCACTGCCGAATATGTAGGCGGGGTTAGGGCTTGCCGGTTCTGGCGTATAGCAGGCTTCCCCGCTTGCGTTGCGTGTGCGCCGTCCCTAGCTCGCTGTAGGGCTTGCTGGTGCTGCGGGGTAGGGAGGGTGGGTGCGTCGTGTGGTGTGGAGTCGTGTGGTGTGGAGAGGGGGGCTCTGCTCCCGCTCGCTGCTCTAGTGTAGTGTAGTGTAGGTACGGTACTCTGTGCCGCCGGCGTCGTCGGCGTGGCAGTGCCTGGTACTCGATAAGTGCAGCCGCTGGGCGAGACCCGGCTTCGTGCGAGGGTCTCACCGTCTCGTCTCACTTCTCGCCTCGTAGGTCTTGATGTCTCGGCTCGGCCCGGTGACGCGGCTTGACTAGGTGCTTGTTACCTAGCTTCTCTTCCTTTCTCTTTTTCGTTGCTCGTTCTTGTACGTTCTTGCTTTTTTGGTGAGAGGGAGAGGTCGAAGAACGATTGGAGATTGAGATCGCGACTGCGCCTACCGTGAGGCTTACGGGTACAATACTCTACACGTCCTCTGGGCCTCGGGCGTGGGGGCAAGTGTGTAGAGTACATGTACTGTACGAGTAGATAGATACCGATATTGGCGAAGAAGAGAAAGACGGTCTCCTCGCTGTTGGAATAGGGACTCTACTCCAGGCACGGCCGTCTTGCGTGCCATTCATTCATTACCTATATGCAGTCTACGAGCTACACATCCTATATCCTCGTGGAACACGAGCACCTCCAGAAACCTCACCGTGGGGGTGGCGGTGGCGGTGCGTCTTGCTCCCTCTCCCCACGAAGAGACGCGATTGGTCCGCCCCAGCTCATCACACGCCTCTGCCCGCGCCGCCGTTACCAGAAGCGGTAATATGCTACTACTCTACACACGCGCACGCCGGGCATCCCGCACCACACGTCCTCTCCTCTCCGCTACTGCCGGAGTGGGAGTGAGGGAGGCGAGCGCGCGACGGCGCGGTTTAGCCAATTTGCCGGCTTTCAGCAAGGTGCGCTGTTGTTGTTGCTGCTGTCGGTCTCTCGTTCAGCGTGCCGTTTGCTGCGTTCTGGCTCTGCTCGGGTTGCTGGGTTGGGTCTACTTCTGCTGGTTTTTGGGTCTGTCTGGTGGTGTGCAGAGATGAGTGGGGATTGCTCTTATCTGGCTCTCGTACTCCTATGGGCTTGCGGTTGGTCCTGCGGTTGGGCTAGGGGCAGCGGCGCTGCCTCCGGCTTGTTACTATGTAAATGGTGCTTTTGTTGCACTGGGCTAGACGTGAGGGAGGCTTAGGCGTGGTTGGTGAAGACAAGGTTGTTCGTTCCTTCGTAACTTTGATCCCTGCTGTCGCTGGCACAGGAAGTTTTCTTATAATACTCACCTAATAAAAGAACTGCGGATACTACACGGCTTTAACGTGGAGATAGCTGCTGCCACCAAAGTGTTGTACAATTTTTTTTTATTCAGCTTAATCAAGTCTTAGCATCCAAACTCTTGACAGCGAGAAGAGTGGGATGACTGACACGAAATACAAAAGACCTTCGGAGCACTCGGCACAACATCTTAGAGTAGCAGCTCACGCAGCGAGTGCTTCGTCACCTATCATACAAACATACCCAGTCACTTTAGGAAGGCTCGTGGCCACTACCATGTAACGTCTTTCGCGAACAAATGAAAGGTTTAGCAACCTAGCAGACTGGTCTAGTCCAAGATCCCGACACAAGAAGAACTCCAGCTCTTTTCCCACAACGACGAGGGTTAAAATAAATGAAAACAGATGTGGTATTTCCCAATCCAATGCCAAACTCCGGGATCCTGAATACCTTGATATGGTGGGAGCAGTTTGGAGCCTTTGTGCACATTCTTTTATGTGATTTGCCCAAACGCATAGCCCCTAAACAATCTACCCTTTGAGGCCAAGTGCCGTATTAGCGAAGCGATCGGCGCCTGGATGAAGATGAACCATGATGTGGATGGTGATGTACGCGGACCGGCGTTCGGAAGATAGTCGCAGTATAAGTCGGAGAGGGTAGGATTGACCATGGTCCGCACGACCGAACTGTGACAGTGATACCTACGAATGGAGTTTTTGCCAGATTACACACTGGGAAAACTCAAACATCGGGATCATCCTCTCCTATGGCGTCCACATCTCCATCACCATCTTCATCCTCTTCAACAGCCTTGCCCTTGCCTTTCTTATCTAGTGTCTCGTCTTCGGTGTCTGACTTGGCCGATTTGGACGACTTGGACTTGGCCTTGCCAACTTCTATCAAATCAGATTCTTCTTTATCATCCTCTTCTTCGACGGCTCCATCAAAACCATTAACAACAACTTCCCCAAGCTTGCTCCGCGTTCGCCTTGCCGTTGTAGGTGGTTGGGCAGGCTGGCCGTTGCCGGAAAGAGGTGTCTCGGGGCCCATTCCCAACAATTTACCGCCTCTCCGAACGGGAGTTACGTTGCGTCTGCCACTTGACATGAAAGGTCTTCCCCGCTTCTTGGCTGTTGTGGTAACCCCAGGGATGGGAGGGAACACTTCGAAGCGAGTTGGTGGTATGCCGGAAGCTGGACGGGGCGTCATCATGGTCTGAGAAACACCATTGGGTTGCGGCGTGGAAGGGGCGGACTTGACGGTTTCAGCAGGTACATTTGGTGTTTCCGGCCTCTGAGGGCTATGAGAGTCAACGGTCGACCCAGAAGCCTCCTTAGCCGCGACACCCTCTGCGGTTTGTTCAGGGCCATGTCCATTCGGTTGAGGGTTTGCTTCCGCCTCAGTCATTTGTACCCCTTCTTCAGGCGCGGCCTGCTCATCATCATCCTCACCCTCGCGCTGTGCTATGGTCTGCAGTGGCGGGCCTTCGTCGTAGTGAGACAGATTACTACGGCCCATCACATAAGGTGTCCATACTAGCCGCTCTGGCTTGATCTGAGGGTAGTTCTTAGCCTCAAACTTCCCGATGTAGTGTTTGAGGAAGTCATAGTCCAGTCTGAGCGCATACGTCTTGGTTGTTGGGTCTCTGACAAGAGCACGCAGACCTTCCAGAGCCGAAACAATGTCGTCAGCCGTCATGCCTGTCTCCTCGGATATATTGGCAATGCTTATGGGCTTCTTCCTGTCGAGTAGATGGTAGCACAGGATCAAACGCCAGTAGCTGCGGTAAGACACGAGACCCATGTCAGACAGCGGCTTCTCCGGAGAACCAGTCTTCTTTTCGACCCGGGTAAGGAGATAAGAAAACTCGATGAGCATATGTCCGAAGCCTTTCCGTTGGTGGATAGGGAGCACCAGGATGCAGGAGACGTTGTTCAGGCTGCTAGGTCTCTTCTCTTTCGAGAAATAACCAACAAAATGACAGCCATAGCTGTCCGTCTCGGTCATCACGTAAAAGAGGAATGGCTCTACGTCGTAGTACAGGGTCTTGGATCCTAGGAATAATTTTGCCAACAAGCAAAGATTCTGGCAGTAAACGGGGTTCTTACGTCCGTCTACTTCGAAGAAGGAGTACTTGTCATCGCGATAGATTTCGTCACCTGGGGGGTGTCTAGCAGGACATTTGAGCTAGGTTCAGTTAGCTTAATCCTGGCTCTCATTAAGATTCCAACAAACCTTGTGTCTCCAAGCAACATAATCAGAGTTCATGTACTTGAGACAAAATTCGCAGATGTAAAGCACTTTGTTCCGACTGTACTCTTCCGGATAGGGTGCAGCGTGCCAGGTGTCGATTTCATAACCGCCGAAATTGATGCATTTTATCTTGCTTGGAGGCCCAGAGACCTTCGGGGTGCGAGAATTCTCTTGAGTCACGTTGGCGGCAGCAATCTTGTTCCTCCAATCATCTTCTGCTTTTAACCGTGCAGTCTCAAAGCGCTTCCTGTCCACGGTTTGAGGAAAGGTCTTGCTAGTATCAGCTTCAGTCTCGGATAGGATACCACCATAGGGTTTTTGCTTCGATTCGTCCATTTCGCGATCCGGAAAGCCAAAAAAGCCCGTGAAATTTGTTTGTATGGCGGGATAGTGAGATGGCTCAGACTCGGCTTGCGCGACAGATACCTTCTCAGCTCTCCTAGCACGATCGCGAGCACGCCGCTTCTTTTGCTTCATGGTTGAACTGAGAACCTCTGACAATTTCGTAGGATCGAGATTCATAAAAGCGACGACAAGTTGCCTGCTATTGGACGTAAGGATTGTGGCGCTAGGCCGACCAACTTTCTGGGAGATGGACCGTCGGGGACGGGTACGCCGCGATGAACGAACAACCTGCGATCCCTCGTCATCAGAGTCAGCAGCTTGCGTATCAACCGCAACTGGTTTTGATGCGACGTGTATGGCGTTTGGTGATGATCCGTCCTCATCAAAGTCGTCATCTTCATTCTCAGACGCGGTCGCCGGCTGAGACGAGAGGCGTCGCTTCCTGGTCGAACGCACGGGGAGCGCTTGCTCCTCGGAATCGGCTTTGCGCTTCCGCAGAGAGCGGGAGCCATCCATGGGATCATCTGGGTGGATTAGAGTGTTGAAGACAGAGTGAGCTTCCGGGTCGTTTGCACCACGGGTAGGCGGCAGAAGGTCTCTTGTGAGCTTCTGCGCCGATGAACGTCGCCTCGACAGAGGACGAGGAGTCTCTTGGTCGTCTACTTGAAGACCATTTTCAACGCAAGACGTGCAGCGCCAATTTTCGGCATCTGGATGTGTGTCAGGCGGGAACATGCTGCGGGAATGGCTTGGCTTGGCTTACCATCGTCGGTCTTGAGCGAGTTAGCGTTACGGGCACATTGCCGATGAGCTGCAGGGACGAAAACAATCAGCCGCCATCCCATGATCATAGTGCACCCTAAACCGCACGCACTCACCGTTGTCGCCGCACACTAGGCAGGCCAGATACTCTTCGAATTCCTCGCTTGGATCGTGCTCTTCGTCTTCCCCACAGAAGCTGGGGTCGGAAACATCAGCACCAGTTTCCCCACGTCTCACTTGTCAGGGTCCAGCACTCACACGCAGCAATTGCGATCCACAATTTCGGCCTCTGCCTCTTCGGCCGTATCGCTCTGTCCCTCCCATTCGTTCACGGCATCCGATTCGGAATCGCTGCCTGAGTCTGCTTCGCTTTCGCTAGACTTGGGGTCTTCGGAAGATGGCTCGACGGCGGCGTCTTCGTCCCCGTCCGCGTCGGCATCTGCGTCGCCGTCATCTTCGCGCACAATGTCTGATGCGGGCATCTCGACGGCTGCCACAGGTGCGGTGGTAGCTTCTTCTTCTTCTTCGTCAACCTCCTCGCCTTCGGCATCAACTTCTTCGCCTTCAGCATCCATATCCGAGCCTTCGAGCTCCTGGCTCACGACGGGCGCAGCCTGGATCATGTCGACATCCTCGTCATGCTCGGCGTCCATTTCGCTGTCTTCATCCTCGACATGATTGCCCATGTTTTGGCCCATGAGCCTGCTAGGCTCGGTGGCCATCGCATACGACGCGGCCGACGCCAGGGTGGAGGTGGTGTGCTCCAGGTCTAGGTGGCGCGTTTGGCTTGCGCCTGCATCGGTGAGGTCGTCGTTGTCGCGTCGCGGGCCGATAGTTAGGTAGAGTAGGCTGGGGGGAGGAGTTGGCGGGCAGAGAAAGTCGCACCCACGCCTCAGCCGATGGAGATTGCCGTGTATGCAGCGATTGCGCGCGCGTGATGGCAGCGACGCTCGTTGGATGGCAAAGGTTGTGGTCGGATCGGCAGCGCGGGCGAGGATGTTTGACGCGTCTGCGGACGGCAGCTCGGGCGGCGACGGCGTGAAATGTGCGGCCTGAATGGTAGCGGCGGGGTTTGCGACAAGGAATCCGGGCTTTTCGCGCACTCAGAGCGAGGATGGCGAGTGGAAGGCCCCTAGGTTTCGCTGGCCTTGAACGGAGACGTCGAGGAGCGGGCACGGCCCAAGCGCCCGTCCTGCCGTTCGCTCGACTTCCAACCTTGCGAACCGCAGCTCGTCCATAGCTGATTACCGACCACCACCTTCTCCACCACCCCGTCCGCCGCTCGCAACCACCCCCTTGCTCCAATCGCACCATGGGCGTCCCCTTCGAGGCCCTGATTCCCTATGGGATCATTCTGGGTGTACGTGGGGCCCCTCGTGTCGGTGCCGTGCCTGACTGACGCAACCTCCACCAGATGTTCACCTTCACCGGTGCCGCCCTCACCAAGGTCAAGCACATGCAGAACGGCGGCAAGCGCGCCAGGCACTCGGTCGACCAGTGGGATAGAGTGAGTCGCTCATTGGCCCGCAATCTCGTGGCATGCCGGCTAACACACAGCAGCAAAGTGAGCTCTCGACGCCCCTCGGAGCGACCGCACGCATACTAAACGACAGCAGTGATGGACCGCGACAGGCGACTCACCGGCCTTCTCAGAGGCCAGACCGACAGGCCGTTTGCGCCTCCCGGCTTCGAGCTCAGCAACCCGTGGCGCGTGAGTACACAGGCAGGCCAATGCATCCCCGGAGTCGAGGCTGACGTACGGTCCAGCTCGAGAAGCGTATCATCTAAACTACAGCCCGCAAGGCCAACACTTTCTGTCCAGCTCAATGAACTGTCTATGCTTTGTGATCTTCGACGAACAGTGTCTACCGAGGAAGTTACCTGATCTAGGCCGCCTGCCTTATCTCCGAAGCCATCCCCCTAATGCCCTCGCACTCGCTGCGGCTCAAGGAAATGCCAAACCTGCGCTCCAGGGCGCTCACTCGGTCAGCTTCGCTCTTGAATTCCTCTTGCACCTCCGTCTTTCCGTTGCTACGCATTTTCACGTTGTCCTGTAGAATGATGACCCCAATGATAGCGTCTTCGTCGGGCCCTCCCATGATCATCTTGGCGCAGATGACCTTTTGCGTGAACCATATCTTCGGGTGCGTGCTCGTGAAATAATTCATGAGGAAGTAGTCGTGCCGTAAGAATTCGAGCTCGGTAAAGCAATACATGTCCTGGAACTCGCTATGGCTGTCGATGCGGTGCTGATAGACCCAAAGGCGCTGGTTTGGGTCGGTGTTTTCAGCGAGGTTCTTCCACACCAGGCGCACCGATGCTGGTGCAATGTGGGTAAAGTCATCGGGGGAATCTTTCCTCAAAGGCAGGGGGCGAGTGGCGCCATTGGGGCCGAATCCGACATCGATCATGTATTTCTGATCTCCGATGGTGACCAGGTTGATCATGTGGCTCCTGCGCCTTGTCAAGATGATGGGCATAAACAAGGCGGTTATAGGGGCGCTTACCATCCATTGTACGAGTCGCCTCCATTGACTCGTGCGCCGGCGGAATAGACGTTGAAGCCCAGAGAGCGCAGCACAATGTTCAGCAAGCCATTGTTTTCCATGCAGTACCTGGCAGCAGCATGATGCAAGTAAGCGGGTGTGCATTCGGGCGGGTGGAACGGATGCACAATATTACCCTCCGCGACCAGGGGTGTCGACCTGCTTGTGAAACAGCACATCGGGGTCGAGGCTGATCTGATGGTGCTGGGAATAGTGCAGATTTAGATTCTCAAAGGGCACAGCGCAGAGGTTGTGTGTTTGGAGCAGGGCCAGGAACGCCAGCTGATCGACAGGGTCGAGGGCTGAGACATTGTAAACACGACGGGCGTGGGGCAGCTGGACGCGGTCAAAGTAGCGCTCCAGCTGGGCGCGGGAGTACGTATGCGGCGACGACATTGACTTCTTCTCCATACTCGTACAGACCCCAGATTGTGACGTCGCGATAAGTCGGTTCGTTGGCGAAGGCAGTCAAGTAGCGAGCGGCTATCGCAATGCGCTAGACGGCGACGGATCGCCGCGCGCTCCTCTTGTAGGGGTCCTGGTGGCCCCCCCTAACCAACGACTGCGCGTCTCTCTCTCTAGCCTCATACCTACTTTCCGCCATGTGCGCCCCTGTCGCCCGCACGCGGCTCTAAATCCTCGCGCTTCTCGCCAATTACCTTCGTTTTATCTGCCACGTCCGACTCTCTCTTTCGCTCTCTTTTATCTCTTCTCTTGACGCCGATTTTGGGGCGCCTGTCCCCTGCCACTCTCTCTCACCATGCAGGCCAATGGCGAGCGCAAACAGTCCTTGGGCCTCGAGCCGCCGCCCTCGCTGAACTTTGGCTTCCCGTCCCCGGGCACTTTTACGCCCGCCGGCTCTATCGACTCCCCCACGCTCCCCGACAAGTCCTCCTACTCGCCCGCTGGCCCTCCGCCCCCCGCAGATGTCGTCCTCGAAAACTCCAAACACGCCGTCGCCGAAGGAAGCACTCCCCAACCCTCCGGAAAAGCCCGCACCTCCAAGTCGCTCGACGTCAATGACCCCGTCCACATGCATCTCCTGGTGGAAACGGCCGTGGGCGACAGCCTTGCATACGATGTCTTGTCTTTTGAAGAGCTCGAGGCCCTAAAGAAGGAGCGCGTTTCATTGGTTGGCCGCATGGAAGCTGTCGGGCAAAAGCTGGCGCTTGAGTCCAAAGTGCGCGACGCCGCCGTGTCTTTGAACCGCCTTTATGGGAACAAGCGGCCTGGCTCGAGTGCAGGCTCCCCGAAGCTGCACAGGCGCAGCATCAGCCGATCCAGCAACGGGAGCACCGGCAGCGCCCAAGTCGAGAGCGTTAGCAGGAGCGAGAACGAGCTGGCCACAAGCCAAAAGAAATGTGACGAGTTGTCACGGGAGCTTTGGCAAATGGAGAGGCGCTTTAGGGACATCGAGTCGCAGATGTTGAAACACACTGCGGGCATCCTTCAGATGACGCACAAGGGTCCGACGAAACGCAGCCGCAGCCGACAGTCCCTGATCAACAACAATGCCCAAGGAGGCCGGCCGGATAGCCCCGCCAGCATCTTTACCTACGAAAATGCCGGTGCCAGAAGCCCAGTGCGTCACGAAGACAAGGACAACTTTGACGAGCGCAGTTTGTACCGCTCTCCTGATAACCTCGACAAACTGGTGGATGCGCTCAAATACGGCAAAGCTTTGACCACTCGCACCGATCCCTTTACCAATGGAGATTCTGAGGTGCAAACTGGAACCTTGCAGTCTGTGGAAAACCGACTTGAGGATTTGAACGACAGGCTTCGCCAGCTGATAATTCAGGCAAACCCCGACACGAACAAGGAGTACGATGCTCCACCGAAGCACACGGCCGATGGTAACGCCGGCCAACAGGCTGCGAACGTCGAGGAGAGGCTTGATTATCTTGATCAAGGCCTCCGCGATCTCGAGGCCGAGCAAAGCAACATGCAGCAGCACCACCAAGACACTAGGCACGCTCACAATGCTCTGGAGGGACGCCTCGAGGGTATCAACAACCACCTCTATCAACTCGCCGAAAGCACCCGCACGGAAGATCAAGAAGAGCAATTACCACAGCCTCCACCTCCCCAGATTTCAGGCCAGGGTGCTCAAGAGCAAATGGAGTATATGCAAGAGGTACTTTATGCTATCGAGCAGTCTCAGCAAAAACTACTAGCTCAGGTTTCTGAGCAGCCAAAGGAGCAGATGCCGGCAAGCGTTCTGCAGGAAGAGCTACAGTTCCAGCTGGATAATTACGAATCTTCTCTCAACGGGCTGTGGCAAATCATCGTTGCCGGTGAAGAGGAAGCACGCCAAAGGAAAGCTCAACGCAGACAGATGCTTGAGGCTGATCCTGACGGAACTTCGGACCTCGATGATATGTCTCCGGATGAAGAGCCTCTGTCAAGCGACTTCTCGATGCCATTGTTCACGTCGAAGGTCCAGACTTTGTTCAGCAAGGCTTCCAGTCTCAAAGAGAAGAATGCTATTCTGCGCCGCCAGATCAAGCAGCAGCGCGAGCTCAACAGCAAGTCAGACGCCGAGAGGGAGCAACAAGTCCTGGGCCTCCACGACGAAATTTCTCGTCTGCGCGAGCAGGCGCACAACAACACTGGCAACTCCGACGCTCTGGAACAAGAAGAGCAAGCCCGCCATGTTGCCGAAAACAAGGCTGCCGAGGCATCGGCTCAGCTCGCCGAGGCCGAAAGCAAGTTGTCCCAGCTCGATGAGTCGCTGCAAGCCGCCAATGCCAGTCGTGAGAATGCAGAAAAGGCAGTGCATGAGAAGGAGGAACAACTCAAGAAGACGGAGGATGAACTGAAGGAGCTTGAAACCCAGGTAGTCAAACTGCAGACCGAAGTAACTATTGCACGAGCAGAGCTCGACGGCGCATATGGAACCAGGGCTCAACGTGCCGCCGACATTGCCGGAAACCCCGCGATCAGGGAGGAGCTGGATGCACTGGGCGAAAGAAACATCCAACTTACGATCGAGGTTCAACGACTTCAAGAAGCGCATGCCACCGCTGCAAGGGAGGCCAGCCAGGTCAGCGAAAGAGAAAAACTGCTCAGGGTTGAGCTCCGAGACACGATTGCCGAATTTGAAGAGATCACGAAGGCAAACGTCGAGAATGAGAAGGAAAGAGAAGGCCTGGAGGGAGTCATTGACGGACTCCGAGAGAAGGTCGAACGCCTGGAGGGTCAGCTCGCGGATGAGAAGGTCAGATGGCTCGGCGTCAATAGCCCCGGCGCACCGAACGGTGGTATGCAGGAGACGACGAGTATTACGGTTCTGAGGGTGGAGTTCAAGAAGATGATGCGGGAGACGAGAGGCGAGGTTTTGAGGGCGTTGAGGGTAAGTCATGCCATCCATACAGCGCCGATGCAGGCACTAACAAGGCCACAGTCCGAGCAAGAGGAACGTCGGAGACTAGAGCAACTTCTCAGGGCGTTGAAGAAGGAGCAGTTGCCGCAAAAGTCGCGTATGAGTCAGAACAGCCAGAACCTGACCGCAGCTTGATTTTACTAACGACCCCTTAAAACTACGAGCATAGGCTTTTAAAAAAGGCTCGCCGGGTGTTCATTGTTCATAATTGCCTGCTTCGCGTAGAGCGACGGTTTGGAGTTTCTCCTTTGGTGTAGATTTTTAGGGCGCATCTTCTCACGTTTTCTATGGCGTTCATTTAAACAGCATATACCCAGGCGTGTTTCTTTGGCCCTGGTTTCGTAAAGGCTTCCGCTTGGATGCCGTTTCCATGCCGAAAAAATCAACATCATACGGCGTGCTTCCCATCGCACTATCGTATAGTTTACAATCTACGACTACTCCATCGTCTGCAGACCCATGCTGTCATTCCGCTTCTATTGTAGCAGCACTCGATAATCTCTCTCGTTGTCCTTGCTGCTCTTTCTTTCGATAGCATCGTCTATCAACAGACTCGCGAATAAACAGACATAGGTCGCCGTTTGTCGATACCGCCATTGCTAGCATTTTTACATTACTGACACTGAGCTCAAGGCACTCAAGTCGATGCTGGACTTCCCTGCACAGCTGGCGCAGGCGCCTCGGAAACAAGCAGTGACTGAATCACCTCCAACGCAGCCAGCTGCTGTCCCAGCCCGGAATTTCCGTCAAAACCAACATCCCACCGGTACCCACAAGTCTCTCCATCCTCACCTCCAGAACAAGCTGCCGCTGCGCCTTGCGCCGATGCCTGCAACAAAGGCTGGATGGTGTCCTTGGTAAATGGCGCGAGCACACTGGTCTTCGCCATCCACTGAGCCAGATACGCTTTGAAGCTCAGCTGGTCCGTGTTACAGGTACCATACGGCTCGCAAGTTGCCTCGTACATGATGTTTGTGGCATTGTCGCTTGGGCCAAAGAAGATCTTGGCGGCTTGCAGCAGCCCTTCTGTTGTTTGTTTCCAGCCCTGCCCCGCGTCGCCGTCGGTATGATTGTACATCACTGCGGCGCCGTAGAGATACACGCCGACGTTGTAGGACCACTGGTATTTGGTGGGGTTTCCGCATTCTTCCGTGGCCTGCGCACCGTCGAAGACGTTGTAAGCGGCATCGATGAAGCCGACTTTCGTGGACCAATTCCAGACTTTGAGTGCCCAGTCGGCGTAGGTTTGGTTGCCTGTGTACCGGGCGAGACGGGCTGCGAGCTGGAAAAGCTCACCGTTGGATATGCTGTTCTTGTAGTCGTAGCCGTTGTTGAAGGTGAATATTTGCCATCTCAGCCCGCCGTCGCATGTGCTGGTGTCCCAGCGTACTATCTGAGAGTTAAAAGTGTTCACTGCCAGATCAAGCCAGGATGGTTCAGAGGCGGCCGGGGGAGAGAATCCGCCTTCCAGGGCAGACATGGCGCCGAGAGCCCAGAAAGCTTGATCGTCATTGCCCTGAAACGATCTTTTGTTAGTCATTGAAGTTGTTGGTCAGACGTGAAGTTTACAAGCTCCTTCTTCCATTCTGCATTCATGTAGTCATGTTGAGGTCCCGCCTGCGCCAGAAGAGCTTTCTTCGTGGTATCGACATGACTAGCATCGCCAGTATATGTCCAGTAGTCGACCAGTCCGCCCCAGACCGCACCAGCTTCCCACCAGTAGATTGGTTTGTCGAAAGTACCGATCAGGTAAGCGGGCGTGTCGGTGGTATTATGTATGTACAGCTTAAGTAAACCCTGCGCCACTGAGGCTGCTGCAGATCGAATGGAGGCTATGGACTTGTAAGATCTCCCGCGACGTGTGGTGGAAGAGAAGGGAGTGGCCTACCGGGATCATCGATGGAGAAAGTTAGCGCGGAAGTGAGAGACGGGACTAGTAATACAGCAGCAACGGCTGTCAAAGCGCGCTGGAAACCCTTCATGGCGGGGGAGACGGATGTTAACGAAAGACACAGAAAGAGTGAACAGGACTTCACATGTCCATCGGGGGCGAAGCTGGTGTATATACAAGGTAGGTAGGCGCAAGTGGTGAAGGGTTTTGGTCCGGGCATTGGCGGGCGCGTCTCTGACATGAAACGCGCCACACGGGCCACGCGTTTCATGGAGCGCTGCGGAGCCCCAGAGCCCCCCACGCCCCCGCATGAAACAGACTACACAGGCTCGACCTTCTCCCCGGCCGTCTTGCCACCCTCTCTCTTCTCCGGTCCCACCGCCTCTGTTGACGAATTCTGGTCCACCGCCCGCAGCCCCATGGCCTTTTCCCTCCTGATCCTCTTGCTGATCTTGATGGGCGACTCTCCTCTTCTGGTGTACAGCAGATCCATTTCCTCCAACGTCAGCTTTGCCGTTTCCGGGTAGCAAAAGTATATCAGCGGCACGAACGCGAGGTTCGTGCACATGAAGATCAAATAGGCTTTCCACTGCAGTCGACTGATGATTACCGGCGTAATCATGACAATCACAAAGTTCTAAAAATTCCGTTAGTCTGGACCGGTTGCACCCTTCCGTCGAGTTCTTACCCAAAGCCAGTTCGAAGATATGCCGATGGCGGTACCTCGTGCGCGGGCCCTCAAAGGTAATATTTCTGGAACTGTCAGCTACGTGTAAGCCATCCGACGCTGGAATAACTCACCGGGTACGTATACCCAAGGGATGCAGTTCACGCTAGCGCCGAAAATGAACATGTATATGAAAAAGAAGGCGACACTCGCCGAGGCCGTTGGCGTCTCTACGCTGCTTCCTTTGAAGCTCAGTAAGATGGATATGAGCATCATACAGATGCCCAGGCCGAGACTACCCCACAACATTGGTCTTCGCCGTCCAAGCTTATCGGCGCCCAAAGCTGGAATGATCGAGCCCAGAGGGAACATAATTTGGATGCTAAGCCAATGACGTTAGCAGTGGACAACACATCGGGATTACCCATTCATACACTCCGCCGATTAGCAACGACATGTTGCGAGACATGCCGACATTTTCTTCGAGAACGGTCGGTACATAATAGCTTCAAGAGGTCAGTGTTCCGTCATTTGCATTCCTTCCTGCAATACGCACACGACGAGATTGATGCCACCTAACGAGGTCAGTCCGTCGTCATCAAGAAGTTCCATAACATTCTTACCAACTTGGTTCATGAATTGCATGCCATATGCAAGGAGAACCCGCTTGCCTGTTTGCACTTCATCTTGCTGGAAAATGTGCAGCCAACTCTTTTGAGATACTCCTTCCAGGCGGAGTGCCTGAAGAATTTCCGATTGTTCTTTCAAAATGGCCGGGTCATCGGGAGATTTATCGAAGACGGTACAAAGCACCTTCAAAGCGTCTTCATTTCTTCCTTTATTGAAGAGATCTCTAGGTGAGTCAGGGAGACCAAAAACAAGAATAACGACAACCTGTTGCGACGCTATTGTCAGTCTTCTTGTACGCGTATGAGGAACTTGTCAACTTTCTCTTAAATCTGAGAACATACAAAGGCGAAAATAACCTGGCATGCAATCGGTAGACGCCAGGCAATCGGACCATGGGTAAAATTCATGCCGTAATCAAACCAGTACGCTGTCATGGTCAGCTAGTTGTCATATGGCTTGATCTATTGGGCTTGTCATTTCTTACCAGTTACTATGCCAATCCCAACAAAGAATGGCTCGCTACAAACGAGGCGCCCTCTATTATGAGCGTGGCTGAGTTCAGCTTGGTACATGGGCACGGTGGAAGTCTCAATCCCCGTGCCTATGCCGGTAACGAAGCGGGCGATGATCATATGAGGTTTCGAATATGCGGAGGCTTGAAGTGCTGCTCCAATCTAAATCTAGGTAAGCGACGGCATCTTAAGCTTGCTTAGAGGTATGCTTACTATGACCCAGGTCATTGCTATCCACATTGCACGTCTCCTTCCAAAATATTCACCGTAGGCAAATGTGAGGAGGCAACCGGCAAAACATCCCAGGTTGTATGTACTGACGATTATCCCCAATATGGTGTCTCCGGGATTATCCACGATATTCAAGAAATCCGTGTTGCCTACAATGCCGCTGAAAACACCTTGGTCGTAACCTGTCATGCGTCAGGCATTGTTCAGAGTGCGAAAGAGGTGAGGCGATTACCAAAAAGGATAAATGCCATTGAGCACGCGGCTGAAATGGCCAATTGCAGCTTGAAGCCGCGTCCAAACATGTCGAACTGCATGGCGATATTCGGGTAGACCTTTCCCCCAAAATGAAACTGTTAGCTCTCATCCGATGGCTTCAACGGGCGTTCGGGGCCCCGTCACTGGTTATATACCAGTCATACCGATGCACCGGGAGAACATAGCCCGGACAGCAGTGTAACATTCGCGCGAGAAAGGTCCGAAGCAGGACGATTGCCGGCTGACAGGCTTCGACAACGCGGGGAGAAACGGGTCCATGCTACGGGAGTCTTGAAGCACGGCAGTAGTGACTGACCAAGAGACGCGGTCGGGCAGGCTCAGCAGACTTGGCAAAACATATGCCGATGGGCCCTTATGCGGGAAAGTCTCACGAGTGATCAGCGCCCTGTCCGGCTAATTGGCTTTAATGCGGGGGGCTCAAGTGGGGTGATAGCGTTCTGGTTTCCTGGGGTCCGGGGTCTGGGGGGGTGACGCCGCATTATTCAGACATCCCGACTCATGATGCCTTACAAGACGGAATAATTCTTTCCCTGGCTCAGAACAAAAGCGATTCATGTTCGCCTCAATCTTCGAGTGTTTGCATGCATCGGCAATGTGCTCGGCTTCTCCCTTGTCGCCAGTCGTACCTATCCAAACTTAAATCCGTACCATTCACGGGTTTGGAGCAAAGAAATTTGAAGTTCTCTTCGATTCGATGAGGTGTCGGCTTTCTCCGCGATAACTTACTGTAGGGTGCAGAGGAGACATGGCAGTTGAGAGCATGACATTCCTCGAGCCCAATGACGAGTTCAGAGGATCATTGATGCCGCGCCCATGGGGCTCCATGCCGGAGAAGTGTATAAATGAGTGAAAGCTTGTGAAAGCATCTTACTGAAAAAGCAACGATGTACGAAGTACGGTGTACCTTTTGTTGTAACAACTTAGCGAGTGGCTGGGCAACAGCCGAGCTGCACTACCGACCACACGTCATCCCCACATTACCCCGACGTACCAAACTGCAGGAGACCCTTCGTCCATCAACCTCTGGTTGGCCGCAACCATATCCATCGTCGCTTTTCTTGAGCCTCGTTATAGGCCTATCGTAGTGATCGTCGTTTCTTCAGCACGCCGTCGGTTCTAGCTTCAATCGTTCAGATTTCCGTGGCGTTCCGCTCCAAGAAGTAACCTCAACACCAACCGCGATCTCCAAGATGCCCATCAGCATACCGCTTCCCATATTCCTGGCGCTACTGTCTGCGCCGGAGGCACTCTTTGCGAGACTTCTTTTGCTCGGGCAGAGTTCAGGGATGTCGATCACATCCCTTGCTTTGGCTTTAACCGCTTTCAACTTCGTGATCTGGGCTATATGGATGACGTTCATATATCCTTTTGTTTTCAGCCCTTTGCGCGGTCTGCCGGAGCCCAAGGTTTGTCCCGTTCCTTGTCGGCGCAAAACTGCAGCTTATTTAGTCAGGGTGCTTTACCTGTACTTGCCCATGGCTTTCTGGCATTCAAAAGGCCCCCTGGAGCCGAACTTCTTAAATGGATCAAGGAAATTCCCAACGATGGACTGATCAGGTTCCGCGGTTTTTTCAACATAGACAAACTATTACCAACAGATCCAAGAACTCTTGCAGATGTCCTCGTTAACAACTCTTACGACTTCCAAAAATCGACACGGACCAAAGGTTTCCTCCGCCGAGTGCTTGGAGATGGCCTAATTATCCTCGAAGGAGATGAGCATATGTTTCAGCGCAAGAATATCATGCCTTCCTTCAGTTTTCGCCACATTAAAAATCTATATCCTGTGTTTTGGCAAAAGTCCTTAGCCCTCACTGAAGCTATTTCCACCAAAGATTTCGACCATTTTGAGAATAACTCTGGAGAAAGACCCCCAGCGGTCATTGAAGTCCACCATTGGGCTACCAAAGTCACTTTGGATGTCATCGGTCTTGCGGGCCTAGGTCGCGATTTCCATACCTTGGATAATTTTGATGACCCGCTTGCCAAACTATACGAAGACTTCTTCATACCCACCAAAGGCAGGATGGTCTTATTTGCAATGCATGTTGTAGGCCTTGGCAGACTGTCCAGAACATTGCTCTGGAAAGTTGATGAGCGTCTCCAAGAACTTACTAGTAGACTGCGAGAAATCTGCCGGAGCCTTGTCACCGACAAGAGGCGCTCTTTGAAGGCCCAGGATCAGGAAACAAAGGACATACTCTCGGTTATGTTAAATTCCAACGTATTCGGTGATGATATGCTAGTTGACCAACTTCTAACCTTTCTTGCTGCCGGGTGAGCCAACCATACATCCACATACTGATCAGCCGACTGACTGTACCTAGGCATGAAACCACATCCTCCGCTTTTACGTGGGCGACGTATCTTCTAGCCACTAACGAAACGATCCAGGCGAAACTTCGCCAAGAAGTTCGCAATTATCTTTCTGCTGAGCTTTCGGATGCAAGCAAAACAGAAGATCTTGCGGATAAGCTCGAATCCATGCCATACCTAAATGCCATCTGCAACGAGGTCCTTCGACTTTACCCCACCGTGCCAGTCACTGCCCGCGACGCCATTCGCAATACGACCATCGGCGGCCAGCATGTCCCAAAAGGCACGCAGGTCCTCATAGCTCCATGGGCTATCAACCGGTCACCTAGCCTTTGGGGAAGTGATGCCGAATCCTTCCGTCCGGAAAGATGGATCGACCCAGATGGCCATGCCAACAACCACGGTGGTGCACCAAGCAACTATTGCCAGCTTACTTTTCTCCATGGCCCCAGATCATGCATCGGACAGAAATTTGCACGGGCAGAACTTCGAGCGCTAATTGCGGCGTTTGTGGGTAAATTTAAGTGGAATCTCGCTATGGACCAAAGTGAGGTCATTCTTACTGGGGTTGTGACGATAAAACCAAAAAATGGAATGAAGCTACGGGTAACAAAGCTTGAATAAGTTGTTGGATTTAGTCGGATTTTCTAGATAGCCTCCTTCGGTACCTTTGCATGTCTATTTAGTGGGAATATCTCTGTACATCGCAGAACTGGTTGCATAATAGGATAAGGGATAGCATAGTTTGGCATAACAGTCGAGGTTTCCACTTTTAACAATTGTTTTGATTGTCCGCTGCCTTCTTTGGAGAGAAAATATTTCATGCTTTAAAGCTACCGCACCAAGAAAGGATATAGTATCATGATGATGAATAACGCATCTTCAATAGTACTTTATAAGTAAGAAACTGAACTTATTTGTTGAAATCATTCTGGACCACAACCTCAGTGCCAACTACTTCTCCATTCAAGTTCCCTGGACGGCTTCCGTCCAATGTGTCCAGTCCAAATCTATCCCGATATCAATGTTCCCATAGCCTTCCTCCCAGATACCACCGTCTAAAGAGCCAATGCTTTGCAATAACCCAGGTTCATTCTCAAAGAGTGGAAAATTCGTAGCGGGGATGGTGCTAGGAGTGACATACAGGGTAGCCGGGTCTTCACCAGTGTCCTTTCCTCCAAAGGAAGCTGGCGACGTTTCAGTACCACGACAAGGTATGGTGGCTATATTACACAACTTCATCAGCAATTCGTGCCGAGCTCTCATATGGCTGTTTCCTTTCTCAGCCATTCCACAGAGAACTTCCAGTGCCATTTTCATCGACTTCCTGTCTCTTTCATTAAAGGGAAATGCAAGATTTATCATGACCAAAACGATTGCAGCGCTGAAGATGTGTTCACCATCCATAAAACCGTAGGTGGCTTCGACCGTCAGCAACGATTAACGAAATAATCAATATCTTCTCAGACACTCACCTACAAGATTCTGCTTTGCTGCAGAATACATCATTATTGTACTATCACGAGCCGCAGTTATGCAAGCTTCAATAACAGCTATAGCTGTTGGAGAAAGATGAACGCGCCAATCTGTGTCCTCACCCTTGCCTCCGGTTGCCAGTCGTTTCTGGACCATGCGGAACAGTAGTGGACGCGCAGTCATATTGATACATTGGTAGTAATGCAGAAAAATGGAGACTGATTCGCGCGATATATCTTTTCCAAGCTTGTTCGGGTCGAACTGAAGTTCTTGAGGAAGGTCTCGCCGCCAATTGTTGAGGTCCGTCATGATGTTGTAGACAGAAGCAACAAGATCAGGCTTGTGATTCTTGCGATAGATGCCTACGCCTATCAGTTTATAAAGTATGATGATCCATCAGTATCGCGTACTGTTCATTATCTTGCCCAAGATTCTGGACAACTCCGTATAATGTAGCAGCACTGTTGCTGGGCCGACTTCCGGTTCACATTCCGGCAGCCTGGACGGGTGTGAAACGCCAATGTCTTCGTCTAGGATAGTGATTGGGTTGCCCGATTTTGCGCAAAGGATCCTGCTGTAGTCAGTTACGAGCTGACGAGAAACGCTCAAAAGCTTTAACTTGCCTGTCCATTGAATAGACAGACCACCACAAACGACGTCTGTGTTCCCGTGCCTTGTTATCTATTTCGGGATCGTCTATCTCTTGGTGCAACCCGAGAGATATAGCCATACGCAGTGCTAAGCCGGTCTGAGAGCTGTTAGCAACATACTTAGCCTACTAAGATGATAAGACATACGTAGAGGAAGGCTGCATCTCGGCGGTTCAAGTTCTGCATGAAATAGCCTGCCAAGGAAAGAACTTCGACGAATAACACGGAGCCTTCGTCGTGAATATCAGGAAGAAACTGTAGTGCTTGCATGAAATAGTCAAACCCCGGGGGACCGTCATGTCCATCCCATTGATTTACACTGTATAATTGACCATAAGCAAGGATGATCAAGACTTGACTGTATGAAAGACACGCCTCGCGGTCTGAAAGGTCGGGTATTTGATTATATGCTTTTTGAAGACGTGCTTCGAAGACATGAGGCTCAACGAATGAAAAAATGGTACCAATATAGACAAATTGGGCTTTGTAAAGACGCTTCGCAAAGCCATAAGGGGGCAACTGCGGGACCTTGGTCAGTGAAGGGCGGCGCTTAGGCCATGCCGCAGGATTGTACGTCGGGCACTGCACCTCTATCGAGAGGTCATGGTCGAATCGGCTGAGAGTCTCAACGAAGCTTCGTAACCTTAGGCCAAAACTGGTGGAAGAGGAGTTGCCAAGGTAGTCTGGTTCCAAGGATATACCAATAAGTAAAAAGCAATCCATATGAAGTGCCTAACCTACGTCGTTGTCCAGAAGGCGTCATGACAAGATGTGCCATGCCTTCGGTGAGAGGGTTTTCTCCGAATTCTTCTGTTTCGCCACTCCCTTTCGGATTTAAAGATGCTGAAGCTGGAAATGAAGGCGACGGTGCCTTGGGGATCGGAGCCTGGCTTTGTTCGTACGCCCTCACGCGTGCTTCAAGGTCGCGCAGATAGCTGGCTCTTAGTCAGCGGGTTCGCAACAGGCGCGTCATAACCTTACAACTCGGGAACCTGAACCTTCCGTTCTTGTTCCAAGTATATACAGCCATGGTTACCGGCACGACAAGTCCTACAGGAAGGAAGGTCACCGCTACACTTGGTCTTCCTTCCTCTACACCGGACACAGCTGATGCACAGGTCAGAGCGCAGGTCTCGGGAGTCAAGGGAGTTGTCTCACGCCAGAGAAGTCCGCCGATAGGGAATACTGGCCCGATGTGCATGAGCAGTGGTACGTTGCTTTCCTGGAGGCATGATGTGGACAGTGGAAGGCGGCGTGACGGATGTCTGACTCTGACCTCTGGAGACGTCAAGCGAGTTGCCGATCTCGGCTCTCGCGGCTTCCTCTTCCGATTATCATTACCGCCTGCATGCTCCACGGCTTTCCCCACCGATCTCTTTCGACTGTTCATTTCCATGTGTACTTGGAAATAGCCCGATATCATCCCTGCACCACCGCCGAAATAAAAATGCCTGCAATTCTTGTCTGTTCTCTCGCCCATCTATCATCGACATGGAGCGCCCTTCTGTCGATGTCAAGTCGGCCACCTTCGAACAGCAAGATGGCTATGCTAATCCAGAATCAGGCGAGACAGGCCTCTATATCGATCCAATTAAGGAGAAAAGGCTTCTGGCCAAGCTCGACTTAGCTTTTGTGCCCATTATCATGCTCGTTTACCTGGTATTGTGCACTGTGATTTTCGAGAGCCAACTCATTCGCTGACAAAAGACAGTCTTGTTTTCTCGACCGTTCTAACATTGGTGAGTTAACCCCGTGCGGAAATCTAAACTGGTTCTGACCGATAAAGGCAACGTCAAAACCGCCGGCATGCCTGAAGCAATTCACGCAACGCCTGAACAGTTCTCTATCGCAGTGTCCATATTCTACGCCACTTATGTCAGCTTTGAGACACCTTGGGCCATCCTTTTAAAGAAGTTAACACCCCGCTACCTTCTGAGTGGCCTGTGTATTGTCTGGTCCCTTGTCACCATCTTCTCCGGTTTCATTGAGAACATCGGTGGCCTCTATGCAACCAGGCTCATCCTCGGAGCTTGCGAAGGTGGCCTTTTCCCCGGCCTAAACCTTTATCTAACCATGGTCTATCGGAGAAAAGAGCAAGCAAAACGGGTTTCATACCTTTTCGTGTGTACAGCTATCAGTGGAGCTTTCGGGGGACTTCTTGCTTACGCCATTCTTCAAATGGATGGGGTATCTGGCGTTGCTGGCTGGAGGTAAGTTGGAGTTCATGTGGTGCACTGTAAATGGATACTCACGATGCCTAGGTGGGTTTACATCATTGAAGGCATTTTCAGCTTCCTGATAGCTGCTTATGTATGGTTTGGACTGCCAAACGATCCCTCAAACGCCTACTTCTTAAATGCAGAGGAGAAGAATATGATGCAAATCCGTGCGATTCAGAGGAAGGAATATATGGGCAGTGAAGAATTCAGCTGGGAAGAAGTTATGCTTGCATTGAAAGATCCAAAGCTTTACCTGAGGCGCGTATACTTGTCTTTTACACGACTTTTTAAGTAATTCTGCTAACAGTATTCAGTGGTTCCATTCAGTTCTGTCAAGACGTACTCCTTTACGGCTTCAGTACCTTTCTCCCGTCTATCATATTGGGAATGGGCTACAGCACATTGCAATCTCAATACCTAACCATCCCCGTTTACATACTAGGCGGACTTGCTTTTATGATTTTTGCTTTCATTTCAGATAGATTCACTATTCGAGGGCCGGTACTTCTGTTCCATTTACCTTTTTCTTCTAGACTTACTGCTAACCTGTGCACAGTTTATTTTTCTGACCAATATTCCTGGTATCATTGGATATATTCTATTGCTTACAGATACTTCTGTTGGTGTCAAATTCCTAGGCACCTTCCTATGCGCTATTGCAGTATACAATGGGGTGGGACTGAACGTGACATGGTTGAATGTCAACGTCGCCCCACATTATCGACGTGCTGCATCGATAGGGTTCCAACAAACTATTGGCAATACCGCTGGTGTGGTGGCTGGCCAAATATATCGGACTGCGCCGTACAAACTGGGAAATGCGTAAGTGACTCTTTACTTGTCGGTTTACCAAACCGCAGAATTGTTACTTATTAACATACAGGTTCTCACTTGGGGCGTTGTGCATAAGTCAGGTCCTTGTTGTTTTAAAGTGGTTGTACATCAAGAAATGTAACGAAGAGAAGGAGAAAATTTCTAGTGGGGAAGTCGAAGACATGAGGAAAGTCAAATCGGGTGATCGCGCTTTGAATTTTAAATACCAGCTGTAGGCAGTACAAAACTACACCTATCATGAAAACTTTTCTTATGAGTTTATTATAGAATGTGACCTAGAAGTGTTATGGTGAATTTTTAAGGTTGATATTATATACTGCCGGTGTAGTTGTTCGATGCTTTCATATAGGAAAGTGATTTATTTTTCAAGTGTGCTCTATGACTTGGTTTTCCTTTACATCTAACACAATCATATGGCCCGGAGCATGACCCATAACAACACCGGGCAAACTCGCTCTCATGACAGCCTCTTGAGGCGTCACACCACAACCCCAGAAAACAGGCACATTCTCCTTATCTCCAATTTCCAAAGCCTTACCTTCAGCGGTAAAAGGTGTTTCTCCCCAGTCTGGCCTATTGATATTAGATACTCCCAGAACCCTGACAGCTTCCCAGCCCCAGGCAATCGGCTCTCCATGAGTTGCCACGTATGGCCTTGTTATACCCCTTACTTTCTCAACGTCACTTTTTTTGTATAGTCTCATTGAGACAGTATATGTACTTCCAGTGAAAACGCCGGCTGGACAAAGCGGGAGGTTTGTGCGGTACATTGGAACAACTCGGCCCCACACTGTATGGTTCGGAAGTAATCCTGCGGCTGCGAGCGCGGTCTCGAAGCTATATGAACAGCCAATCAAGAATGCAACGTGATCTTCGGTCCATTCCTCTGTAAGATCTTTACATTTCGCCTTGAGTAGCTTCCCATCTCTGCAGTTGTTTGTCAGTATCTTTAACATGAACAAAATTAGTCCGCGCAGATACCTGTAAACCATATATCTAGGCGCGTCTGTTCTGATGTCAATGCAATGCGCAACCTTATCATCGGCAATATCCTTCATCCACGATTTCAAGTATGAGTGGTTGCCAACGCTTGCAGATTCTGCCAGAAGAGGACAAGGTACAGGGTTGCGAAAGCAAAGAAGACGAAAGTCCGCTGCGAATCGTGAAGGAAGAACTATTAAATTTGCTTGAAGATAACCAGGTGCAATGCCAGACGTGGACAAAATCGTGTTTTCGCACGCGGCCAACCTGGCTTCAAGACCAGTGCTGATTTTTGCTGGAAGACAAGACATGGACAAAACGTGGAGGGGATGTAAAAAATGACAATGCCATGATAGAGATGCTTATAAAAATATTTGCGAGGCAATAGCCGCTTTGTATCAAATAAGAAGCTCCACCTTGTTTGTCGGCTTTAACATCCGATCAGATAAGGACCCATCGGGTGGCCATGCCGATATGAACAGGGATATAAATCACCAAAAATGGGTCCACTGGTAAGATCCAAGCCTATCCTCTGTGCCTCCCATGCGCATCTCACGTATAGCTGGTACACACTCTCACAACACTCTACTTCGCATACAAGTAGCATACTTACATATCCACAAGGAGTATGCCATGCTACATGTTAAATATAATGGCTAAAAGAACTCTGCCGCTTATTACGCCACGCGGCAAGGGGCAAACAAACACGGTGACACTAACTACATCACTATGATCTCGTGTTTTCAGTAAGGAACTCGCCACCAAAGATGGCACCTTTATTATATTGTGACCGAGTAAAACTTTCACTTCATTTCAGCACAGTTGCCTGACCTGAATGCTTACTATCTTCCGCGCCCTTCTGTTCAATTCGGCCAAAATGTCTATCAAGACCTCTCTTAGCGCAGGCACTGCAACGCCTACTAAGCGTACTCCAATCCAATCCCTTGACGGTCCTGACAGGCCACCTCGTCTCTCCGTCCTAGATTCCGCCAAGAAGTCTATCTGCAATGTGGAACAACTTTCCATTGCTGTTAACGACGGTCCGGACGGCGCAGTCCCTGGTTTCGTGCACATATCATCAAATTTTGAGAGGCGAACCTCCAACTCGTCTTCTTCGTCGCGGACAGCAGCAATTCTGCTTTCAGGTGCAGGTGGCGGCCTCGTAGGCCCATCCTCGATCTACCTGTCCATGGCGACTAAACTAGCATCTCTTGATGCGGGAATCCCAGCTCTGAGAATGGATTACAGATACCCCGCCAGAAACAAATATTGCGTTCAGGATGTGGAAGCTGCCATGTCGTTACTGGAAGCTGACTATGGGCTTGATCGCGTTGTGTTAGTAGGCTGGTCCTTTGAAGGTGCGCCGGTCTTCACGGTTGGCGGGAACAATTCACGTGTTGTTGGCTGCGCAACCGTAGCATCTCAGACTGCCGAAACAGAGGGAATCAGACGCCTTGCGCCCCGACCGATACTGCTGCTCCATCGAACTGGTGATCGGTGCTTGAGTTACTCATGCTCCGAGAGGTTGCATGCAATGTATGGATCCAAGGGCGATAGACGAATACACCTATTTGATGGTGACGATCACGCTTTGACAAGAAATGCGTTCGAAGCAGAGCTGGAGCTATGTTCTTTCGTTATGAGATGTGCCGGAGTGAATATTCAAGATGGTGAAAAGGATATTGTTGGCAAACAACTTATTTCAAAGGAGGAGAGAATTAATAAAATGGTTAAAGGCGGTGATCTAAAGGGAGAGGAACGTATATACTAAGTAGATATATTTATCTTAGTACATACTACGTAACTAGTCCTACTATTAAGCTAATATTTATATCCTTAAGCCTCTGAATACTATTTAAAGGTAGTATATAATATAAATATAGCTATTTACTATAAGATATAGTAATTTATTATAAAAAATAAATATTTCTTTTTTTTATAAAATATATTTAATATCTTCCTAAAGCATATTCTTTTTCTTTAACAAAATATATTCCACTTTTCTGAATATATATTTATCTTTTCTAAAAATATATTCTTTTTTTTTTAAGAATATATTTTACTTTTTTTTT